GAAGATTGGGATACATGGATAAACCAAACCGGATGATACACTAGGCCACCTTTGCTCTACATAGTGACCTTTTCTCTGTTCTAATTTTTTATTTTCTTCTTTTTTTCCTTTCCTTATTTCTCCTCTTATCGAAGGGAAGCAATAGACCAGATGAAGGGAGAATAAAAGAAAAGAATATAACCCTTAACCGGGCAGACAAACAGAATAATAAAACATCGAAACCATACAGGATATAAGAGGCTCATGCTTTCTCTAAGACCAGATGAGTAAAGTAGACAGACAAAAAACTTATACTTAGAATTAACATAGAGATAGGGGGACCCAGGTGGGAAGGGTTAGTAAGACTAATAGACATGCAAGATATATTGATGATGACATTGCACCAAGGCCTGAACTACATAAGGAATACTAGAAATTAGAAATGAAAAAAGAGGCTATGGTGCTGGCTATTGTGGCGATCGCGGGGTTAATGGTGCTCCGGTCTGCTTCTGTATTAGAGGCAGACCGGGAGCACCCGATAGTGCTGCCCAGCACATGTGCTCACTCTGACAGCATGTCAGAGCGAGCACATGTGCTTAGTATACTTACCTTCCGCCTCCCTGCACTTCCTGGTTCTGTGTGAAGTGCAGGGAGATGGATCAGTCATGATCCTGCCCCCTGTTAAAAAAATAAAAAATAAAGTTTATTTAAAATCCCACCCCCCTTTACTCATTCTAATTAAAAATTAACCTCTTCCCTGCCAATTGATCACTGACTACAGTGATCAATTGGCAGGGATTACATTTTACTGTACGCTCAGGGGTTAAATTTAATTAATTAATTAAAATATTTTAAAATTATATGTTTGGCTAGCTGGGGTGGGTGGGAGTTAGTGGGGAATTGGGGGATTTGGTGTTAGGCTAACTAGCGGTTAACGTTAAAAAAACTTTTAAAAAAAACTTTAAAAAGTTACAAATTAAGCTAAAAAAAAGTTGTAATAACGTTTAAGTAAAAAATAAAAAAACACCCCCCTTTACCCAGTCCAAATAAAAATTAACCCCTTCCCTGCCAGTTGATCACTGCCTACAGTGATCAAAATACAGATCACAGTATTATACTGTGATCTAATTTTTTTTAACCCCTTAGGATTAACTTTTATTTATTTTTTAACCCTCAGGGGTTCAATTTATTTAATGAATTAATTAAAATATTTTATAATTATATATTTTGCTAGCTGTGGTGGGTGGGAGTTATGGGAAAATGGGGAATTTACTGTTAGTGCTGCTTACTGCTAGTTAGGGGTTAACGGTAAAAAAAAAAAAAAAAAGCTTAGAAAAATGTTAAATCTGTAAAAAAGATTAATAAGCAAAACAAAAGTTTAAAAACTAGTTTTTAAAAGTAAAAAAAAGTTTCAAAAATTAAAAAAAAATACATTTAAAAACGCTCATTATCACTACACCTGGAACAAACTAGAGGAAATATGATTCCATGCTAAGGTTCAAAATTTGCCTTTTGAATTACCCCATGGTGTATTCTTTAATAAATAGTATGTGTTTGTGGGGAAGTTTCAATAACCAACCGTATAAACTACTCCAAATTGGAACATGGACACAGCGTAAAACTTAGAGAAGTTAGAAAAAACTGAATGGCTGCGTCTCAAATGTGCCCCTTCAACATCCACATATACCTAGCAAAGGTACATACCGTGGTATTGCCATACTCAGACGACATAGCTGAGCAACATATGGGGTATTTGGATTATATAGCCTGGTAAAATACTATATAATGGGACATGGGCACAGCGTAAAAAATAAAGTTTGAAAAAAAACTGGAATGGCTGTGTCCCAAATGTGCCCCTCCGATGTCCACATACACCTGGCAAAGGTACATACGGGGGTATTGCTGTACTCAGCCGACATAGCTGAGCAACATATGAAGTATTATACACTGGTAGCACACATAAGGTTTGCAAAATATACTGTGCAAACTCACTTTGTGTGTCAAAAAGGCATAAAAAACACTTATTACCACTACACTTGGTACAAGCTAGCGGAAAAATGATCCCACGCTAAGGTTCAGAATATACCTTTTGAAATTCCCTGGGGTGTCTACCTTAAGAAATGGTAGGCCTTTGTGTGGTAGTTTGAATTTAAACCCTGCTAAGATGCTTGGAAATTGCACTTAGGCCCATCGTCAAAATTCAAAGTTCGGTAAAAACTGATATGGCTTGTAGGCCTTTGTGGGGTTTTTTTGAACAGTTAAACTGGTATAATACCCCAAATGGAAGCATAGGCTCATTAAATCCGTCTCTTAAAATTCTACTATGAATACTGAATAGGACAGGTCTCCTATATGGCACTGTAGCTTCACGAACTAGTGCCAAAGACATACAATGTGGGTGTCATTTTACTCAGAAGACTTAGCTGAGCATAATTTGGGGGGTCTGAACTTAGTGGCACATGTGAAATATACAAAATGCCCAGCAAAAATGCAATCCATGTGTAAAAAAATGCACAAAATTATTTTTTATCACATACTTTGGCATATATTGGTAAAAAAATGGGGGCATGTTAAGGCACAATATGAACCTTATGAGATACCCTGGAGTGTTTTTTTTTTTTACAAATGGTAGGCCTTTGTGGGCTTTTTTGAACAGTCAAACTGTTATAATACCCCAAATGGAAGCATAGGCTCATTAAATGTCTCTCAAAATTCTACTGTGAATAATGAAAAGAACAGGCCTCCTATATGGCACTGTAACTTCACAAAATACTGCCAAAGACATACAATGGGGGTGTCATTTTACTCAGGGATGTAACTGAACACAAAATAAAACTTTGTACAGGAATAGCACACACCAACTTTACAAAATACACATGAGAATTTTTCCTAAATAAACAATTTTACTCCAATATTTAGCAGAGGTTGGCGGTGAAATGACTACGTAGAAAGTGTCAAAACAACCCTAGGTAAATAGCCTGTGATGTCTACTTTATATGAATATATACTTTTGTGCGGCAATTTTGTTTTCTTTTATGGCTATTAAGCTTACAAGACAAACATACCAAATTCTAAAATCGCTCCACATTAAAAGTTTATTTTACTCCTTGTGCTTTGTGACCTGTAACTACCAAAAAAAAAAAATCCCAGACACATTATATATTCTGTAAATCAGAACAACTAAATGAATTTATCTGTACTAATTATGCACACATTATTATTGCAAAAACTGTAAACAAAACACAAAAATTTTCATTTTTTTTGCATATTTCTGTATTTTTTTTATAATAAATAAGCATTTATATATATGTTTGTTACATCAAATTAAAGCCCTCTCTGTCCTTTAAAAAACGATATATAATATGTGTTGGTGCAATAAATTAGTAAAATGCAAATTGGTCCTCTCTTGGTTTTCCTCCTATCTCTCCCAACGCTCATTCAGTGTCTCCTTTTCCAAGGATACCTCTTCCACTCGTCCTGTCTTGGTTGGAGTTCCCCAAGGGTCTGTCCTGGGTCCCCTTCTATTTTCTCTTTATACCGCCTCTCTTGGTAAACTGATTGCCTCTTTTGGATTCCACTACCACCTGTACGCTGATGACACTCAGATATACCTCTCCTCTCCGGACCTCTCCCCTGCTGTCCTGCAACGTGTCACTGCTTGCCTTTCTTCCATCTCTGACTGGATGTCTTCACGCTTTCTGAAACTTAACCTCTCAAAAACTGAACTCCTTGTCTTTCCTCCTCCTAATACTGATCCTCCTCTCTCGCTCTCCCTTCAAGTCAGTGATATCCACATAAGTCCATCCCTGCAAGCGCGCTGTCTTGGCGTCATACTTGACTCTGGTCTCACCTTCGAGTCTCACATCCAGTTTGTTGCCAAGTCCTGTAGGTTCCAACTCAAAAACATAGCCCGCATTCGCCCCTTTCTTACGCAAGATGCTACCAAGGAGCTTGTCCATGCTCTAGTAATTTCCTGCATGGATTACTGTAACCCTCTCCTGATTGGTCTCCCCAAAAGCCGTATTGCCCCGCTACAGTCTGTAATGAATGCTGCAGCTAGACTGATTTTCCTCTCTAGTCGGTCCTCTCACACCTCACCCCTCTGCCGGTCCTTACATTGGCTCCCTGTATGCTATAGGAGTCAATTCAAAGTGCTAACCCATACATTTAAAGCACTGAACAGTTCTAGCCCCGCTTATATCTCTTCACTGATCCATAAATATGCCCCTCCACGTACCCTCCGCTCTGCCCGTGACCACCTCCTGACCGCTGCTCGCACCCGTACGGCCAACTCGCGCTTGCAGGACCTCTCGCGGGCGGCTCCTCTCCTATGGAATAGCTTGCCTACTGCCATCAGACTCTCCCCTAGTCTTCAATCATTTAAGAAGGGCCTTAAAACCCATCTCTTCAGGAAAGCTTATGGCCTCCCAGAGTAATCTCTACCTTACATACCTGTCTCCTGCTCTCTCCTATGGGACAGTGCTTTGCTCTCTCCTCCAGCTCTGCTTCACTCCTACTTGATATTTATTGTCCTAATGTTTCAAATACCCCACCTCCAATAGTCTGTAAGCTCGTTTGAGCAGGGTCCTCTTCAACCTATTGTTCCTGTAAGTTTTCTTGTAATTGTCCTATTTATTGTTACACCCCCCCTCTCAAAATATTGTAAAGCGCTACGGAATCCGTTGGCGCTATATAAATGGCAATAATAAATAAATAAAATAAATAAATTGCAGTTGAACGCAAACAGCAAAAAATGAAAAAAAAAATGCTGTTGTCATTAAGTGAAAAACAAGCTTCTGAAGCTCTGTCCTTAAGGGGTTAAAGAGGTTCTTATCAAGTTTATGTGACTTCTATTTGGAGGTATTTGTGAATTAGAGAGGGCCCCGCAAACTACCTGTGTGCGTTTCCCTCCCTATTCTTTTATTTTGTTCTGTTTTTTTTTTACATAAGGAATACTAAATGTATGCAGGGCAGATACAAGTCTGAAAAAAAAAATTTTCTTACTGTGAGCTGTCTAGTTCCTATCCTGTAAGAGGGCCAGAACACTGTGGAGCAATATGTCCTTTAGCAGGATAGGAACTTGCTCTCTCACAGTGAGCTGGATAGTTCCAATCTCCATACAGGACCTGACTAGTAGGGGGCAAAAAAGTCTTTTAGAAGGATAGGAACTAGTTTATTCACATTGAGCAAGCTATTTCCTATCCTCCGAAAGGACAGGGTCCTTCTACTGGATAGGATCTAAACTCAACCCTTCTAATTAGGACATTAGACTATGAGTATTGCTAAACATCATGCTCTACTGGAGGTCCACGTCTACTGGGGCCAAACTGTGAGAACAAGGATGCGTTTCAACATAAAAGGGCGTGACAGATAAACGAGCCAATTAAAACAAATATAAACACGCTGACTGTGGGCGGAGCCTGGATACATTACGGCCTTCCTTTGTAAGAGAAAGCCTAATTCTCCGTTGAAGTCGATGACAGACATGTAAACTAGCCAATCGCTTGTCCACGTGTATCTTGGGCGGGGCCAAACTATCTTCGCCACGGAAAGACTATAGCTCAGTATTAGACCGCTGGCCAATCACACGTAAGGGCGGAGTCATGACGCAACCTTCTGCGCCGCCGTCACGTCTGCGGCCGCTAGAAGTGACGTTACGGAAACGGTTGCCCGGGTTACGCCGTTAACTTTTACGCTGATAATTTAGGCTCTTTTTTTAAAAAACAAAACAAAAAAACAGGTCAACACGTTAGTCGTGTCTGCTCCTTGCACTGCTTGGGGTTTTAAAGGGGCTGCATGTAAAAATATGAGCGTGTGAATACGGTGTATGAAGAGGGTAAGTGAGGTGTATGACATGGTGTTAACAACCGCCACGTTAGCCCCCAGAGGAAGCTAATACCTTGAGGCTAACCCCTGGGACAAGCTTTGTCTATTGATCTGAGACGTGTTTCCACAAACTGGTCTTAATGCTGCCTTCTGTATTTCAGTAGGAATATTTATTGGGAGCCTTCACGATTCTTTTGGATCTTGAGTACGCCCTTGCTGAAGACTCACTGTTTGTCCCGTTTCTAGAAAATAAAGATTCAAATACAGATAACAGGTAAGTATTGTTATAATATTTTTTTAGTATTTACTGCATGTAAGAAGCGCCTGCATTCATCGGTTACAGATCGTTAAAGTAGACCTGACTGTCACAGAAAGTGTGAGTGACCGGGTCATTTTTAGGGTTTTGTGTAGATGGCATTTTTATATTGGGCTGGAAATGTGAAAAGCAGACTTTGAATAAATTCTTTGAGTTTCAGAGTTTTGCCTGAGTCATTCCTAAGTAATAAAACCAGCTGAATTACAAGAAAAACATTTCTTCACTTACATGTTGCCGCAACTTCAGTTTCACAGGGGAATTAAACATATAACACAGAGTGGACACTTTTGTGGTTTAAATGTAACACAGATCCTAATATTGGTGCTGGGTTAATCTCAAATGTAGAAATCACCAAAATCAGCGAGTTTCCCTTTATAAGGATGTCTGGATAATCCTCAAGGTTGATCATGGAAAGTGCTTACTTTATTGGAGAAAAAAAATGGTGAACAATATGCATAAAAATAGTTGCAGACCTCACAAAATCAAACCTTGTACCCCCCAGAGTCAGAAGGAGTCTACATTAATTGACATGTATTTTTAAGATTTTGCATGGCCTGCTCATATTTTTATGTTCACCATTGTTCTACACTAAAGTATGCACTTACCATGATCTACTTTGTAGATTATGCTGAGATCCTTATAAGTGTGGACTTTTTGGTGATTTGCCTCTATTATTTTATTTTAAAGGACCACTGTTGTCAAACATTTTTTATTTTTATTGTTATAATCATTCTGTGTAATGAAAAGGTTTATTTAAAATAAAAAAAATGAAATGTAAGAATAGTTGCAAATGACTTCCATGTCTTGGACAGATAACTGCACATCTCTGCGCCATTTTGAAGCTTCTTTATTGGGACTGATTTGTCTACAGTGCTTCAATCAACCAATTGCACTTACACACTACTGTAGACGTAATGGCAACATTAGAAAGATTCAAAGATATGGCATATCCCCGAGCTGGTGAGTACATGGAAATGTGTAGGAGCCATTGAAATTGCTTTTTATTTTTTATTTTTTAACGTATATGTTGGCAATTCCCTATCCCTTTAATAAGGCACATTATATATATATAATGTATTGTTGAAATGTTTGCATTTATATTTTATTCTGTGTCCTAAAACCTGTTGCAGATACGGCACCTCTTCAAACTGGCAGCTTGTCACACACTGATTGGCAAACCCCTTTTGTGTCTGGGAAGTCTGTCAGCCGTATTTCTGAAAGTAAAAGAGAAGATTGTGTTCGTTCTGAGAGTACTTGCCCTGAAAATCTAAAGGGTGAGTTGCATAGGTTACAGTTTTTATGAAATGCATATTAGAAATATGTTTTGTAGTAAAGTTTAGTGTAATAGTATTTAGATCTGTGCTGTGAAATCAATAAGCACCCAATAATACATGATTTTAATGTATTTAACGGTAGAATGAATTTAAAAAGTGGGACCCACTTTAGGTCAAGTGGGCAGTCTAAGTTTCCACCATCTGGATACAAGAGGGTTATGGGGCATTATTTAAAGGAACACTATAACCACTACAGAGCTGTGTATAATTTCAGGAATCCAATGGTGCAGCCCAAAATAAAACTCTCAAACAGTTTGATAACTGGCCAGCAAGGGAAGAGGGGCCAGGAGGGAGGTTTTATAGAAGGGGAAAAAAAAAATACCAGTGCACTCTGATGGAGGCGGGAGAGCGCTTCCCCTTCAGGCACTCTGCCTGCAAGGGGAACATTTCAACAGATGTCAATTCTGTGCATACATTACATAAGGCAGCCATAAACCGAGTTCTAGGCTGCCAATGACACTTGCGCTGGGAATGAAATTAATCCCCCAGCACACAATTGACACTATTTTTGTATGTGCAGTGTTTAAAGCCGAAACACTCAACATACCGTCTCCTACCACCAGGACCTCTTCCAGATTTGTCGCAAGTAGTTAATGAACACTGCCCTCACCCCCTACCAGTATACAAATAAGGTGACTAAGGTCTAATGTAGATGCAAAAATTGGATTTCTAGTAATTTGATAAGTTAATGATTGCAAATGCATTCAGTCCTGAATGCTAAAAATAATAATAAATACATAAAAGTACACGATTTTAATTCACATATTGTTGGATTCATTCATCCAATGTATTGTCTCAATGTTTTTGCAGATTTTTGCAGTGCAAATGGCAGTTCCTCCTTCGAACCAATCAGGAGTCAAATCACCATCCCCACAGCTCATGTTATGCCTTCCACCCTGGGAAAACATTCCACCAATGCCTGTGAGCTTGGGGGAGCTCAAACGTTGACAGACTCAAATCCTCACAGCTTCCCCTTCCAGCCTTCATCCAATCTCTTGGCAGCCGATGAACTTCGAAAGTTTGAGGTTCCTAATATTGAACCCACTTTAAACCAGTCAAGTTTAATGCAGACACTTTATACAGACCAGAAACCTAATGCATTAACAGAGGGCAACCACATAGATGGCGGGCCGTATAGGATCCTACCTCAGAGCAAAGAATCTGCAAACGTAGGTCACATTCGCAGTGTTGGTGATACACATCTGATCAGTCGGGGATGGAAGCCAGAGTTATTTTCTCTTCATTCAGGAGCTGAATTTAGTGCTTTGCGGCAACAACACCAAATGGACAACATAAGGCTTGAAATGGAGCAGCTACAGGTGACATGAACATTAATTATGACCAATTTGGCAGGGATTATTGATAGATATACAGTGTAGAGATAGATGAATTCACAGTTTAAAACATACAAATGATCGGAAACCACATCTGTCCCAAAATCTCCAGTTGCATAACACTTTTAGTGCCTGGTAGGACTGAAACATTAAAGGGATCCTATAGTGTCAGGAAAACAAACGCGTTTTTCTGGCACTATGTGCTCTTGAAGTGACCCCCTCACTTGGCTCTGAAGGGGTTAAAACCCCTTCAGCCACTTATCTGAATCCAGCGCCGATGTCCCTCAGCATTGGGTCATGTGGCAGGGGAGACCTAATGCGCATGCGTGGCAATTATACCTCCCCATTGGGAAAATCTGATGCTGGGGGTCTGTGAGGACATCCAGCGTCGGATAATGGACTAAAAGTCCGCTTGGATTCCGGAAGCCCTCTAGTGGCTGTCTGTTAGACAGCCACAGAGGGCAGACTTAGAGCTGCAATGTTTACATTGCAGTTCTCTAGAACTGCAATGTTTTGCATTGCAGCATTTAGTGCAAAAGGGTCACCGCACCCAAACTACTTCAATTAGCTTAAGTAGTCTGGGTGACTACAGTGTCCCTTTAAATCATTCATAAGAGATTATTCATTTGGCTAAAGTTTGGGGTGCAATTAACCAGTATTTCTTGCAAACATGGTCTGTTTTATTTTCAGCTGGCAAGAGGGCGTCCAACGCCAGTGTATCCAGATCATAATGGACTGGGAAGGGTGCTGAAGACAAATGAAAATGTGCTGTTAGAAGAGTTGCTGGTGGAGAGGTAGGATAGTGTGTCTGGTGCTACCCCCTTCATAAAATGCTATATAGACTTCCTCTAGTATAGATTTGTGTTCAGCCTTCTGCATTTCTCCTCCCTCAGGGCATCCAGGTACAGAGAAAAATGTTTATTTTAAAATTGTTTTCTTTTGACTTCCTGTGGCCCAGGCAGCGGCAGCATATTTCCCAGCTGGAACAAAAACTGAGGGAGAATGAGGTGCAAGTACGCAATACGATGTTGAGCCCAGTTAACCCTTATAGTGAAATGTATATGATCAGGCTGCAGGTGAGTTTTCAGAGCTAGGAGTACAATTACACTTTCCTTTTGTGAAAACAGAAATTGATAAATCTCTATCTGTTCAGGAACTACAGAGAGAGGTTACTTTTCTAAGGGCTCAGTTTACAGAGAAGAATGATTCATTTAGCCGAGAGAAGGCTGACCTTGAAAAGAAACTGGGTGCCTGTGAAATAGAAGCAAATGAATTGAAAGAGAGCAGGAAAAAATTGTCCCAGAATCACATTGAAGAGTTAAGAAAGCAGGAGGAGCGGGTGAGTGCCTAAAGATAGACTATTCATGATCTCTATAGCATACAGATAGAAGCATATTTATTTTTGTGTCATGAATTGGAGTTGCAAACATCTGCATGCAGGGTGGATTTTAATGAAATCACTAGGACTCTATTTAATCATAATTATTCAAACGTTAAGACTCATTTTTGCTGGTTGCTATAATTTTTAAATTTGCAACAAGTTGAAGATTTCATATATAGAATAATGACTTTTCAGATTTGTTTACCAGTTATATCACCATTTTTATACCATTAGAAATACATAAATGATGAAATTATTGCAAGATGTACCACCATCTCCAGTTGGGTTAGTTATTCGTTTTTGGAGTATAATTAAAATATGTATCATACACATTCTTGTGTTTGCTTAAACATCACTGTCAATGGAAAACTGTCCAAGGTGGATTTTTCATCCGAAAGCATTTTAATTAAATCATTCCAGTTTAAGTCAAAATTACATGCATGCCTTCCCTTATCTTTTTCTAGGTAAAAGCAAGAGACCGACATATTAATGCACTAAAGAAAAAGTGTCAAAAGGAATCCGAACAGAACAAAGAGAAGCAGGAAAGGATTGAGACACTAGAGCGATATTTGTCAGATCTTCCTACTGTCCAGGACCATCGGAAACAGACACAAGAGGTATAGTTTCTAATGCAATAAACCTTTGTGCATAGGAAGGAAGAAAGCAAGCAAGGAAGTTCTCTTCCGAAACAGACTAGGGATTTTTCTTTTCTTGGTTTTGAGGTTTTTTGTTTTTTTTTACTTGGGAAAACCATTCTATATATATTTTAGTGTAATGTGTTTATCTTTTGCTACAGCATTGTTTTAAGCCTTGTAGTGATACCACTTATCAAACTAATTCTATATCTGGAATATAATGTGTAATATATATTCTAAACAAAGAGGATTGTTGATGTAGCAAAGGATGTTAAAGAATAGCAATATCTTAGATCAAAAAAGTGTCCTATGTGTGTTACTAACTTGTTAAATTGTATCTTCAAAACAATTTAACATGTTGCCTAACTCTCTCAGAAGTTTTATTGTTTTCTTTCATTTGACTTCCATTCTCTTGTCTTGGCATTGTCATCAGTATTTTTACTACAGACTTACCGGTAATTACTATATTAGCATTAGCCCTTTAATTTTTACAGTACATTCACACTTTAACCCCTTAAGGACTGGACTGTTTTTGCGATGTTGTACATTTGCAACCAGGAATATTTTTACACTTTTCTGGTGTTTGTGTTTAGCTGTTATTTTCCGCTCTCTCATTTACTGTTCCCATACAAATTATATATTGTTTTTTTCAGGACAAAAGGGGCTTTCTTTACATACCATTATTTATATAATCTCATGTATTTTAATTTAAAAAAAATAAAAAATATGATGAAAAATTGAAAAAAATACATGTTTTTTGACTTTTACTTGAAAAATCTTTTACTCATCTACAAAAGCGAATGAAAAAAACAGCTAAATAGATTCAAAATTTTGTCCTGAGTTTAAAAATACCCAGTGTTTACATGCTTTTTTGCTTTTTTTGCAAGTTATAGGGCTATAGGTACAAGTAGGATATGGCGGTTTCAAAACAAAATTTTTTTAAATGTATCAATAGTGACATTGTAACACTATTATCTGTCATAAATCTCTGGAAAACACTCCACATGTATATATTTTTTTTAAAGTAGACAACCCAGGGTATTCATCTAAGGATATTTTGACACTTTCTATGCAGCCATTTTACCACAAGTCTTTGCCAAACTTTGCATAGATAGTTGTTTTTTTTCACATACATTGCAATTCAGGTATAAACTTACAGATCCTGTTATGTCTTGCTGCCAAACAACACGCCAATATGTGTTCAGCAACATCTCCTGAGTACAGTGATACCACCCATGCATAGGCTTGTCGGATTGTTTGGGGCTAAAAGGCCACATTTGGCAGGTGCGCATATCCATTTTTCAACTTGGAATTTTGACATGTAGTCAACCTGCGCACATGTCCTATTTGGGACATTTGTAAGGCCGGCCAATGTATTTTACCCCCACCAAACCATATATTTTTGGAAAGTAGACACCCTAGGGTATTTCAAATGGTGGTTTTTTAACACTTTCCATGCACTAATTCTACCACCAGACATTGTCAAACATTTAGGTAGTCATTTTTTGTGTGTTTTTTTTCACACACATTGTACTTTAGGCATGAATTAACAAATCGTGTTATGTGTCACTGCCAAACAACACGCCAATATGTGTTCAGCAACATCTCCTGAGTACAGTGATACCACCCATGCATAGGCTTGTCGGATTGTTTGGGGGCTAAAAGGCCACATTTGGCAGGTGCGCATATCCATTTTTCAACTTGGAATTTTGACATGTAGTCAACCTGCGCACATGTCCTATTTGGGACATTTGTAAGGCCGGCCAATGTATTTTACCCCCACCAAACCATATATTTTTGGAAAGTAGACACCCTAGGGTATTTCAAATGGTGGTTTTTTAACACTTTCCATGCACTAATTCTACCACCAGACATTGTCAAACATTTAGGTAGTCATTTTTTGTGTGTTTTTTTTCACACACATTGTACTTTAGGCATGAATTAACAAATCGTGTTATGTGTCACTGCCAAACAACACGCCAATATGTGTTCAGCAACATCTCCTGAGTACAGTGATACCACCCATGCATAGGCTTGTCGGATTGTTTGGGGGCTAAAAGGCCACATTTGGCAGGTGCGCATATCCATTTTTCAACTTGGAATTTTGACATGTAGTCAACCTGCGCACATGTCCTATTTGGGACATTTGTAAGGCCGGCCAATGTATTTTACCCCCACCAAACCATATATTTTTGGAAAGTAGACACCCTAGGGTATTTCAAATGGTGGTTTTTTAACACTTTCCATGCACTAATTCTACCACCAGATTGTCAAACATTTAGGTAGTCATTTTTTGTGTGTTTTTTTTCACACACATTGTACTTTAGGCATGAATTAACAAATCGTGTTATGTGTCACTGCCAAACAACACGCCAATATGTGTTCAGCAACATCTCCTGAGTACAGTGATACCACCCATGCATAGGCTTGTCGGATTGTTTGGGGGCTAAAAGGCCACATTTGGCAGGTGCGCATATCCATTTTTCAACTTGGAATTTTGACATGTAGTAAACCAGCGCCCCTGTCCTATTTGGGCCAATGTATTTTACCCCCATCAAACCATATATTTTTGAAAAGTAGACAACTCAGGGTATTTTAAATGGTGGTAGTTTAATACTTTTCATGCAATAATTCTACCACCAGCCTTTGGCAAACTTTTGGGTAGTAATTTTGGGTAGTAATTTTCTTCATGTTTTTTTACACATACATTGTACTTTAGGCATGAATTAACAGATCCTGTTATGTATCACTGCCAAACAACACCCCAATATGTGTTCAGCAACATCTCCTGAGTACAGTGACATCACCCATGCATAGGTTTGCTGGGTTGTTTGGGGGCTAAAAGGCCACATTCAAGACTTGTACATATCAGTTTTTCAACTTGATATATAGGTATGCTTGGCCTATCTTCAGTTTGGCATATTTTTGCATCCCCCCGTTAATGTTAACATCATGAAAGTTTATATTTTTATAAAGTAGACATTCCAGAGTATTGTATATGAGGTGTTTTCACATCCTTCCCCAACCATTGTGCTAAACAAATTTCAGAGAACGTGCATGGTGGTAATTTTTTAATTCTGCTTTTTATGCACACGTCATCTGGTTTTGGCCAGCCAGTTATATGTTACTACCATAAAACTTTTTTAACCAAATGTGCAGGTATCAAATGCACCTTTAGCAGCATTCTCTAAACTAACTCCTGCAAAAAGAATCTAATTGGAGATTTGGGGGGAAGGAAACTGACTAACTAAAATTTGCTGTTTTCAAAAGAAAAAAAACAGTGTCCTTTTCCTTTTTTATAACAGACCCAGCAACATTTCAGGGGATTTGTTTTTTTTTTGCAGTTGGCAGTATCTTAAAAATAAAATGTCTGGACTCCTTTGGCACCGTTGTTGGAACTTGACCATCTCCATAAATTATTGTGGAAATCAGCTTGAACTAAAATTGGAGAAAGGTGGTTCTTTCTGAATTCATTTTTTTTTTTAAAGAGTAAAAATTAATTATGTGTTGCTACTTGCATCAGGTAGATAGCCACCTTTTTATACCAGGCTTTTGTCTTTCTTAAGATAAGATATGGCTGCATCAGCTGATCAGCCAAATCAACACCCCCCATGTGCCTGTTATAAGCCCTGATGCACACCGGTTTTGTCTGTACCCTGCCTCGGACAGTGGCGTCTGACATGCCCTCGTTATGGATGGTTGTTAGCATGTGAACATCCTTCCTGTCCTTAAATTTTATTGCAAGCACTTTTGCTTTGTGCAGACCTTTACATTCACTTTTTTTTTTTTTTTTGGCCTCTATTAAAGGTCTGGGGAAATCCTTGGCATATCTTCTCACACTGCCACAGGCCAGTATCTAGAAACCCTAAAGAGTTTGAAACAAACAGACAATGCTATAAAAATTGTCCACATAAAGGTGGTAACCCTTATTGAACAAGGGGATCAGTAAGTCAAAAACAAGTTTCCCGCTTGTCCCCAGAGAGTCAGTACAGCCAGGAGGGTCCAGTTGACCATCTTTCCCCTCATATATACGAAAGGCAAATGTATAGCCACTTTCGCTCTCGCACAGTTTGTAGAATTTTACGCCATACCTAAAGCGCTTTGAGAGGATGTATTGTTTGAATCCTAATCTCCCTTTATATTTCATTAACGATTCATCAATAGATAAATTTTTTTGAGGAGTATAAACTTCAGTAAATTTGTGCTGAAGATGGTCTACCAGTGGGTGTATTTTATGAAGCCTATCATATTGGGTGTGATCTCTGGGGTGACAGAGGGTATTGTCATTGAAATGAAAGTATCTCAGCAGCAGCTCAAATCTTGTTCTAGACACGGTTTGGGAATACACCGGACTAGAACAGATTGGGTTGGTGCTCCAGTAAGAGCGAATTGATGGCTTCTTTATAATCCCCATTAAAATTGTAAGAGCCCAGAATTTTTTAAATTTAGCGACATCTGTGGGATGCCAAGCACGCTCCTCCCTGAAAACAGACCAAAACTAATAAAAACAGACTAAATGAGACTAAAACTTTCGTTAGCAGCAACTTGTAAACTAACTTCTGCAAAAAGAATCGAACTGGAGATTTGGGGGAAGGATACTAACAGAAATTTGCGGCATTCAAAATAAACAAAAAAAAATAAATCAGGAACAAGTATTATAAAAATGTATTTTCTGTGTGGTAGAGCTTAAAACATGTTCCAATACACAGTCCAGGTTTTGTAGGGCAATCGGGACAGTGAAAAGGGGTGTCTGTCCTTTTCCCTTTTTTATAACAGACCCGGCAACGTTTCTGGGGGTTTCTTTTTTTTTTGGTGTTGGCGGTATCTTAAAAATAAAATGTCTAGACGACTCTTGCACTGTCGTTGGAACTTGACCATCTCCATAAATTATTGTGGAAATCAGCTTGAGCTGAAATTGGAGATAGGTGGTTCTTCCTGGATTAATTTTTAAAAAAAGTAAAAATGAATTATGTGTTGCTACTTGCAACAGGTAGATAGCCACCTTTTTATACCAGGCTTTTGTCTTTCTTAAGATAAGATAAGGCTGCATCAGCTGATCAGCCAAATCAACACCCCCCATGTGCCTGTTATAAGCCCTGATGCACACCGGTTTTGTCTGTACCCTGCCTCGGACAGTGACGTCTGACATGGCCTCGTTATGAATGGTTGTTATCATGTGAACATCCTTCCTGTCCTTAAATTTTAGCGCAAGCAGTTCAGCCTTGCGCAGAGCTTTGCATTCCCCTTTTTTTAATTTGGCCTCTATGAGAGGTCTGGGAAAATCCTTGGCATTTCTTCTTACAGTGCCGCAGGCCGGTGTCTGTAAACTATAAAGAATTTTAAACAAGTGGACACTGCTGTAAAAATTGTCCACATAAAGGTGGTAACCCTTATTGAACAAAGGGTTCAGTAGGTCCCAAACAAGTTTCCCAGTTGTCCCCAGAGAGTCAGGACAGCCAGGAGGGTTCAGTTGAGCATCTTTCCCCTCGTATACACGGAAGGCAAATGTGTAGCCACTTTCGCTCTCGCAAAGTTTGTATACTTTAATGCCATACCTAGACCGCTTTGAGGGGATATATTGTTTGAACCCTAATCTCCCTTTGTATTTCATAAGGGATTCATCGATGGATAAAGTTTGTTGGGGAGTATAAACTTTAGAAAATCTGTTCTGAAGATGGTCTACCAGTGGGCGTATTTTATAAAGCCTATCATATTCGGGGTGATCTCTGGGGTGACAGAGCGTATTGTCGTTAAAATGTAAGTATCTGAGCAGCAGCTCATATCTTGGTCTAGGCATTGTTTGGGAGAATATAGGAGTCGAACAAATTGGGTTGGTGCTCCAGTAAGACCGGATTGATGGCTTTTTTATTATCCCCATGAGCATGGTAAGAGCCCAGAATGTTTTAAGTTCAGGGACATCTGTGGGATGCCAAGCATGCTCCCTGACTGTATAGCTACCTGGATTGGTCTCAATAAATTGGCTAGCGTATAAATTAGTCTGGGAAGCAATCTCCTCCCAGATGGTATCCCCTAAAAATAACTCCATATATTGTATAGGGGAGAAGTCAACCACATTCACATTAATGCCTGCGTTGGCACTAAAAGGGGGGATGTTGGGCTCAGCTAACTGTGGAGGTACCCAGTCCTCCTCCACATTCAGCGTAGCAGGGGAAGCACAGCTTCTTTTAGCAGCTGGCTCACTCACAGATGACATGTCACTAGACGTGCCGCTAAACTGACCTGGGTCAAAATCGGACGCAGTGTCAGTGGCGTCAGAGTCTGACGCCAAGAAGGCATATGCCTCCTCCAAGCTGTACATGCGCTGCATGTTTCACACCAACAGACTAAACTAACAAAATACTAAACACAATATTTTTTTTTTTTTTTTTGTAAAACACTAAAACAGACTAAAACAGACTAAAACAGTAATCCCTAAACTAACTCCTGTTAGAAGAATCTAATGGAGATTTGGGGGAAGGAAACTGACTGACTACGACAGGCTACGACAGGCTACGACAGGCTACGACAGGCTACGACAGGCTACGACAGACTACGACAGACTATGACAGACTATGACAGACTATGACAGACTATGACAGACTATGACAGACTATGACAGACTATGACAGACTACGACAGACTACGACAGACTACGACAGTCTAAGACACAGATTTTTTAAAATAAAGTTAACCCTTAAGGGCAAAAAAAAAAATACAGACAGTAAAAATGCACTGTCTGTAACAGATCTGGCAGGGAAGGGGTTAAAATAGGATTTTAATTAACTGAAGATACTTTTTATTTTTCACAGGAACAGCTGCTGCAACAAACTATCAGGATCTCTGTCTCTCTCCTCTCACAAAACGCTACAGAGAGGAGAGAGGCAGAGATCAGTGTCAAAGTGAGTGTTTGTAACACCCACTTTGACACCAGCCAATTGTGAGCGATCGCGGATCGCTCACATGCCGCAATTGGCTGTTACTATCTGCCTGGGATGCCGGGCAGATAGTAACAACGGGATTTCAGCGGAAGCGATCTCTGATCGCTCCCGCCGCCCGTTTTCCGTTAGGACGGTTCAGGACCGTCCTCGGTCGGCAACGCAAAAATGCCGAGGACGGTCCTGAACCGTCATGCGTCCTTAAGGGGTTAAAATTATGATTGTGAATGTGCAGCTGTCCTGCCTACAGTCTGAGATCATCAATCCTGATGGTCTCGGGTAATCCATTGCTAACTCCTAAGGAAACATTTGGAAACTAGTGCGCATGCATTGCATATCACCCCACTGTGCTAATCAGCATCTCCTTATAGAGATGCATTGAGTTAATACAACTCTATAGGTAGCACACATTGTCTCCATACTGAGTGTGGAGACTCTGAATGTTAATCCTGCAGTCTTTGCAGGACCAAACCTAGTAAGTCTCTCTAGCGGCTTGAGGCAGCACTGTAAACACTGCCTTTTCTCAGAAAAAGTAGCATTCATACTACTCAGAATCTCTACATTAAGCTATTGGGATTCTAGTGTATTATTTACCCTTTTGGATTTCAGTTTACCTTTACCATCTCAAATTGGAAGTTACCTCAAGCATTATAAACAGTACAGCCTACTGTTGTAGTTATTATGTGAGAAGCACCATTGCACTTATGCCGAGTAATAGGGCAAACCCTTTAACAACTTGTCACCCTTTTATCTGGGTTTTCCATTTTTTTGGACTGTTCTGAAGGATTTACAACGCCTGGCTTTTGCAGAGCTGCAGAAACTGGATGCAGATCCTGCTGTGTATTTTATTTTTATTTTTGGCTGCAAGTGTCAGCTGACTGCTCTCAGCCAATGATTGCAATTCTGTGCATGGTACGTTGCACAGAATTGATCTTAGCCAGCCTGTAATTCTAGTTCCAGGTTGGCTGATGACACCCCAGTGACAACACTGCACATACAGATTCCAGGTACCATAATCACTGATGTGGTCATGGTGGGTGCCTGGAGTAACCCTTTAACGTGTGTTGTAAATCATCCAACCTTGGTATACTTTCAAGCTTATTGTTTGTTGAGGTGATGTGGTGTAGAATGTCACTATGTTTTCAATTAAAGTGAACCTATTGTGGTAATTTTATACATATTGTTAAATGTCAGTGCGGGCATTTTTTTTTTTCCTATAATTATAACAGATCTGTCACTTTCAGTATATAATAACAATATATTCTTTATGAAATACTAATCAAGACGCATTGGAATATCAATGAAATTCCAACGCAGTCCAAAGATGGCTTCGCCAAATGACAGCTGTGGGATTCAGGCTCTGTTAATGGAGGATCCGCTATCTTGCAGGATCCTCCAGAGACCTCGGTTTTGTACTTTGACGCATGCGCAAGAGTACAACTCTTCTGACTACAGAATCACCAGGAGCTGAAAAGGACAGCAGCATGAGGATGGCGGTGGACGAGAGGGATAGTCTGAGGTAAGTAAAATTCCCTCCCTACACCCCACATCAGATCTGTCTGTTTTGGGTGGGCGTCTTTGTGAAATTCCTCAAAAGTGACAGATAAGCTTCAAAAGGATGTATATTAGCCATTTTATTTCCTTCTTGACCACATGTGCTTTCATTTCCTTTTATAGTCTGCATAAAAATATTTCTTAACATGAAATTTACATAACCGTCAATTCCTAAAACAGTATAGGTGATTGTAATTATGAATTGTGATGTCAGTAGGAACTGTTCAATAAGATTATTACTGTTCCTAAATGTATGCACAAGTGATACAGAAATCATAGATGTGTTTTCACTTGTCAAATGTATTGTGCATGATGTTTGTATCCCTCTAGCAGTAGCATGTAAGATATACTTATGATCGCTAAATGTGTTTGTTACCTAATTATAATATACCATTTAGAGTTGAGAATAAAGGGTCAACCATTCGTGAATATTGCTGGTTAGCAATAGCTTGGTGCCAGAATTTTGGTTCATTAAGGACATATCTTTGTTTACTTTAGCTGAACGATCTGAAGGAGAAGAGCTGCCTTCTTCAGAATCAAGTGCATGAGGTGGAAACCAAACTGGGAGATGTCAGAGCATTTTGCAGAGAAAAGGAGTCACAGCTTGTAAATGAAAAAAGCAGAGGACAGGAACTTTTAAATATCATAGACCGGTAACTAATATGAAAAACTTTGCAAGATTAAATGTTTATGCATCCATGATAACTGCATCTCTCTCCGTGTGTTTTGAAAACATGAGCTTAGAATGCTGTAATCACTGGACTTAATAATCCTACAGGTTAAAGGAGGAGCTGGAACGTTCTAAGGAGCCTGGACATCATGAGGAGGAGAAGAAGCAGCTGACACAGGAAATAGAAAATCTTCACCAGGAAGTGCAGACTCTGCGGAATGAGAAGGAATGCTTGAAAAAGGTAAGACGTCCCAATGTTTTCACAGTGGCATTTGCAGTGTATTTTCCCATAATTTATTACAAGTTTGTGTTTGCAGGTAATGGAAAGTCAAAAGAAGAAAATGGAGCAGTTATGCAGCAGAGTAAAAGTGAGTACACATTGATTCAGCCCTGGGAGATGGTGAAAATTCCTTTTGTGTAGTAATTAGACTTTCTAGGGTTTCATGGCTTTGAAGGGACGCCATGGGCACCCAGACCACTTCATAGCCCCAGGTACCTTAACCCTGAAAAGATAATCATTGCAGTTTTTAATAAACTGCAATAATTACATTTTCATTTTATAATTTTTGTGCAGAAAAGTACAGAGACTCCTTCAATGCCACAACAGCAAATGCAAGCACAGTAGTGTCAAAGTATAACAAAAGCGTGGCATTAGATTTTGAGAAATAATAATAGACAAATGGTGGGTTTAACACTATAGGGTCCGGATACATGGTTGTGTTCCTGACCCTATAGTGTTCCTTTAAGGTGCGCAATAGATTTAACTATTCAAGAACTGTAATGGTTCAGATATCATAACGGTGTCCGCAAGACACAGGAGAGTCCCAGAACACACGGAGAAGCCAACTCACATCCACCGATGCCCAAGTTAGGGAAACACTTGTTATACATGTGAATAAATGTGACAATTGGATTCCCCTCATTGAGTCCAAGTCCGCCCCTGGTCGGCTTTGAAGCTCTCCAGGGTTACAACCTGGGCCACAGCCTTGTGTACCTCCACTCTCAGCAAAGAGAGCAAGGATGCTGGAACAGGCTGGTCACGCTGAGGTTAAAGACACTGGATTCTCTGTTGGCAGGGTGGGTGGTAATAAATATACAGCTTGCAACAAAGCATAGCTGCCCGCCGCGGTAGTTCCTTGCACCTTTGCCTGTGCTGCATTTCTTTGGAGACCCTAGCGGGATGCTTAGGCCAAGGCCAGGGGGCAGCTCAGGGGTATAGCATTCCGGGCTACATGAGTAGAGTTCTGGCATACAGCTTTGCCCAAAACAAGGCACAGATGTGGTCAAACTTCAGGAGGAGTGGATCCACAGGCATAGGGGACTGCTGGGAGGTTCCCATACTTGCAGGCCTTGGTGGGAGGGCCATTTTAACCGTTTGGCCTCAACTCTCCAGCTCGTTATTGAGTAATATATTATGGTCAGATGACTATGTCAAGAGGGGCCCAGATGGGATCAGGATGAAGGGGGGCAGGGCACAAGGCAAGCAAAGTCCAAGTCACGGTAGAGGATCGGCACCCTCCCGTCCTTGAGTGGTTTTGCAGCTCACAAGTAAGACTGCCACAGGCTGTATCCACTTGTCCTTCCTTGGAGCTGATACTGAACTACTCTCCAATAATTACATTCTGAGGGTTTACTCCACCTCGAGTGGCTGTCTACCAGACATCCACTAGAGCGATTTCTGGATCTTTAAGCGACTTTCAGTTGCCTAACTGACGCTGGACGTCCTCACGCTATGCATGAGGACATCCGGTGTCACCCGAAACCGTGTAGGAAAGCATGTTATAATGCTTTCCTATAGGAAAGTACTAATGCGAGCATTGCCGCGCATGTGCATTCGTTCTCTGATATCAGCTGGGGAGGAGTGTCGGTGAACTCAAACCAGCACTGAGGAAAATTGGCGCAGGACTCTAAGTGACAGAAGGTGTTTTAACCCATTCTGGACCATGGCTAGGGGGGCACTATGAGGATTTAAAGTGCCAGAAAAAAACTTTTTGTTTTCCTGGCACTATAGTTTTGATAGAGCGTTTTGATTGCTTTACAGGGAAAGCAGTACATTTGGATGTTTGCAGAAGCAGCTTCACTGTCAGCATGGTGACGGCAGAGGTTTTTTGTTTTTGTTCTGACACAGATGTGCTTCATTTGGTGACCTGCTTTTTCAATGCTTCGTAAAGACTGTACAAGAAATAGAGCAGCGCTAAACAAACTAAGAACACTAGGATGGGAGGCAGCACACCTGATAATGGGGGAATCCCTCCAACCCCGAAGAAAACTAGAACAAGTCAAACAACAATACACCGGTAGCGCCTTGAAAAATACTCCAAACACAATAGTATATAATAATAAAAGCAATAAAAAATAAAAAAAACACAGGTAAAAGAGTCCACAATAAAACTTGAAAGAATAAAAACTACCAAATGGTACGACAGTCTCAAAGGTGGCAATAGATCTTCTAGACCTGGTCTTGGTAGCTTCGCTTAATAGCAGAATATGAAAAGGAGGCAACCCAATAGTGCAATATGGTAGTACGTGGTAGGACAAACGACACTTAGATAAGATGTCAACTCACATATGGTAGAGCTATAACCAGCTCTAGGTAAAACAGCATGCAGTGGTATACAATCCCCACATGTAGGATATCCCTCTGGTTTTGGTACACTGTAGAATGATGGTAAATCACAACTGCATAACGATGAGGTAGTTCATATGGAATGACAAAAAAAAGCAGCCACTAGTGCTCTCTATATAGATAGGGAAGTATCAATAAGGTAAATAGAAAATGAACTTACAATAGACTGAGCAGACTAACAGCTCTATGTATCAAGCCTGTGTGGTATAATCCCCACCAAGGATTTCTTTGTTTGGTTATCCACAGTATGTGATTGGTCCAGATGTCAAATAAACGTATAAAAATAAATAATAAGTTCTAAAAATAAATGGCTAAAAGGCAGCTAGTGAGGTAGCCAAAATACTTTATTTTGAAACTGCATAAAAATCACAACGTGTTTCTCCCCTTAGGGCTTTCTCAAGTGGTAAAAGGGACCACGTACTACCATATTGCACTATTGGTTTGCCTCTGTCTTTGCTTCCTTTTCATATTCTGCTATTAAGCGAAGCTACCAAGAAAGTCCCATACCAGGACTAGAAAATCTATTGCTACTTTGAGACTGTGCCGTACCATTTGGTATTTTTTATTCTTTCAAGTTTTATTGTGAACTTTTTTTTTTATATATATATATTGGTCTGTTGGTCTTTTATTGCCCTTATTAATATATAATATTGTGTTTGGAGTATTTTTCTTGGCACTACCTGTATATTGTTTGACTTGTTTTAGTAAAGACTCTACCCAGGGACTGATATCCAAGTGAAAATCTTTGGTTTTGAACACAAAGTACTTTGAATAGAATGCTAAAAACTTGTAGCTGTACATAAATGTCACATACCAGTGCAAATATGGTTTTTGACAATTAAACAAAGACAAGTTAATCAGTTTTATCTATGGTATACGAGGGATTTCTATAACCGCACCAACTTGCCAATATAATTTAAATTTATACCTTTTCTATATTTAAGAAAACAAATTCCTGTAATTAAGCTTTTATTGTTTCCCTTTCAGTTGCTGCTACATTTCATCTATTTCATTATTATTTATTTATTTTTTTCCCAAACAGGAACTTGAAGAGCAGGTATCACAAGAAGAAGGTACAGGTCAGGTGTTAAAGGAGGAAACACAGAAGAAGGAAAATGCTTTCCAACAACTTAAAGAAGCTGTTAAAGAGGTGATAAATAATCACAATTTGTTGTAATGTTTTGTTGTGGGTGTTTACGAAGTATGCTGAAGCACATAGAGGTTTTGAACACAAATTACCTGGACAGAGAACTGTACATGTTGGTGAAAGTTCTGCATATGAAAGTAGAAATAGTATATATATTTTTTTTTTTCTAATTCTCATAATGAATATTACTAATGGTGAAATGTTGGATTTGTTTTGGTAATTTCAGTTGGCAGTGCAGAACCAGGACTTAATGGAACGTAATGTTTTGCTTGAAGAGCAGCTGCAACAGACAAGAGTTGGAGAGCAGCAATCCTCTTTGGAGGTTCAAGCCTTGTTCTCTCTTTACAGAGAGATGAATGTTTGCCTAAAGGACCTAAAATCCATTTGTAATTTGCTGTGCCAGAGAGTGCAAGGGGTGGATCCCAATCTGTCAATGCTGCTAGGGATACACTGTGAGTTGACATGGGGATTTTTTTTTTTTTTTTGGAAGGATCATTATGCATCCACTACCTTAATTATCTTGTTGCCTCATCATTATGTCACTTTATTTGTGATCTTTTTATTGGTCCTTTAAGCCAGAACAGTCAGAAGTGTTTTTGCTGCATATTTAATACACAACTAGGAGCTAGCAATCTCCTCTGCAGTGTAACCATTACATTATAAAATACAGTGGCAAGAAAAACTGTGAAAACTTTGGAATTAGTTGGTATTCTGTATGAATTGATCATAAAATGTCATCACAACTTCATCAAAATCACACAAGTATACACAAACACAATGCGCTCAAGTTAACTTTAAACAATTATAATTATTTGTGTTTATCAAAAACATCCCATTAAATATTAACAGTGCTGCAGAAAAAGTAAGTTAACACTTAATAGCTAGTTGATCCTCCTTTGGCAGCAATAACCTCATCCAAGTGTTTCCGGTAGATGTCATCATTGTCCTGCTGCATCACCCAACTTCTACTGAGCTCAACTGGCATTTAGCCACCCTAATATTACCCTGTAGCATATGTTGATAAATTTTAGAATTCATTTTTCCCTCAATAATGGCTAGTGTTCCACGCCCCAAAGTAGAAAAGCAGCCCCAAATCATGATGTATCCTATGTTAGTATGCGGTGCCTTTTGTATGACATCCATAGTATTCATGTTCTTCCCAAACAACTTCAACCTTGATTTCATCAGTTCACAAAACTGATGAAAGTAGCATTGTGGAATGTCACGGTGCTCTTTGACAAATCTCAGGCACGCAGTAATGTTTGGTTTGTTTTTTGTTTTTGTAAAGCAGTGGATTTCTTCATGGACACAATGTCTTTAATGCTTTATGTATGGTAAAATCATGAATGGAAATGTTAACCAGTTATAATGATTTCATTCTTGATCTGTCACTTTAGGGTGTTTTCTTGCTTATGGTTTTTTCCCTCATTGAGAATTGAGCAATGTGCCCTTTGCGTCATCTTGGCAGGACAGCCACATCAGGGAGAGTATCCACAGTACTAAATTGTCTCCATTTACAGTGGACAGATAAATATATATGTTCGTTGAGACATCTTTGTCACCATTTCCATCTTTATGCAATGCAACAGTTCTTGATTGCAGGTCATCTTAGAGCTCTTTTGCGTGAGGCATGGGTCATTCATATCAACAGATGCTTTTTGTGAATAGCAAACTCAAAATGGTTGAGCACTTTTTATATATAAAGCAGCTATAACCAACACCACCAATCTCTGTTCATTAATTGAACACTAGGTTTGCCAATTTTCAACCTCTAATTGGCTTTTGTTTAAGTCATTAACCTAGGCTTTTACATACTTTTTCCAACCCATAATGTGACCATTTGAAAGATGTACTCGTGACGAAGTGCCCTTCGCCACTTGTGCCTGGAGAGGACTGCTTGCCCGCCTCTTGCCCTGTGACTATGGCCCCTGGTTTGTATTGCCCTTTAAAGACATGATTTGGGCATAATGGATTTGTGTTGTGCTGCTGCTGGCCCTTTAAGAACCATCTGGGGACATACTGTGGAGTTACTGGGTGGCCACCATTTCCTGTATTAGAAGCACATGTTGAGAACAATGGATGGCGGCCATTTTAACTCACAGACACTGTTTGGACTTTTCAACACGGTGCCATCTCGCCAGTATTTGGTGCACAGAGACATCGTGCAGTGGTTTTGGACTATACAGCAGGGGACACATTATACAGTGATTGTTTTTAATTTAGCCTGTATATGTTCTGCAGAATCTGCATTAAACTGTATTTTCCAAAGTATTGAAAGGATCTGGGTGAATTTTGGATATGTGGTTCAACCAGATCCCCTGGTTCCAAGGATATACTTTTTATGGGGTTATTGCATGTTTTGGGGTCCCTGTGTGTTTTATGAAACTGTATTATTTCTGGCCAGCAGATAATTGAGCTTTGTGTATTGTAGAAACTCAATTATCTAGCCTGGCCCAGAGGAGGAGTTTTGTGTTGCATAAATTGTGAGTTCTGTGTGCCAGTAAATCAGTCTTGTTCCAGCATTAAGCCTTGGCTCATGTTTGGGGGATTGGAGAAATACACTCTGGGGATTGCTATAATCACTATACTCCCCAGGGTATGATCACTAAGTTCTGCTAAGAGCTTGTTTGTTCCTGCTCTCTGGGGAAAGAGAGGTTCACCCACTGGAAGCTGGATCCTGGCCTTGGGTCCAGGGTGGGTGGAGACAGCAGAGACCCCAGCGCAGTTGCATCGCTGGAAGTGGGGTCTGCAGTGCTGATGGTGTCGGTTGGAGTGCTTGGAGTCCTCGGCAAGCGCTAGGAGCATCGATTGGCGGAGGTACTCAGTCGGAGTGCCAGCGTTCCGTCACAGTACTCAATATGTACAAGAGCAGTAAAATAATTTGTGTGTCTTCCGTGAATACTATTCTACCAATGTACTTCTCTACTCCTACCCTTACATTTTGTGTCACTTTGCCCCACTCCATCTAGCATGTAAGCTCATTGAGCCGGACCCTCAACCCCTCTGTTCCTGTGCATCCAATGTGTCTGGTTGCAATTACGTTTTAGTCCATCCATTGTACAGCACTGCAGAATTTGTTGGCGCTATATAAATAATATCAAACCAAATTTTGGGGGGAAAAAAATTATGCAGTCCTTTCTAAAATGTTCACATACTTTTTCTTGCCACTGTAAATAACACTCATTTTAAATTACACCAATGAAACCATCCTTAAAGTGGCGTCACGTTCTAGGGTATTTACATGTTTTGCCAACACTCCCAAATGTGACATCCGTACTTGGTGCGTGGAGCATATATTGCAGTGTTTTACATTGTAAGAAAAAAAACGTAAAGCATCTCAACCAACAGCATTTCGTTAAGGTAACCTCCCTACCAGGCTACCACTTTACTGATAACTGTTGCTGAATGCATCCAAAACATTTGATGAATGGCATCTCTTAGAACCTTGCCTTGATTTTGTATTTTTACATATATACCCTCTTCTGTATCTGAAATTATGTATATTCAGTCCAGCAGCAGTAGCACTTTTGATCAAAAACACAAAGTGCAGTGCCAAGTTTCCAAATGATAAACTCCCCCCCACCCTCTTCTTTTAATGAGTATTGATCTTTTTTTTTTTAATCCTTGTCCTTACAGCTACTCCATCTTCTGATGATTCTGGTGAGATACTCGATTCATCATCTCTTGATAAACATCTGGTTGACGTGAGGCAGCTGAAGAGAGACATTGATGATTTGCGTATTACCATTAGTGATCGTTATGCACAGGACATGGGGGACAACTGTATCACTCAGTGATGGTTACACATTTATTCTCTCAATTATGGCGTTTTGTGTGTATTTATGCATTTATATGCAGCCTGTGATTGAAAAACCTGACCATGCATCCTTTTTAAACTGCCAAAGTAGTAGTCTGGTTGTCTGCCAAACTAATGCATGGGTTTTATGGATTGAATTATCTATTCTACTGTGATCTTAGAGCGGATAATTCAAAATGGTTATCAACGGTGCACAGTTGCATTTTTTACTCTGATTAAATGTTTGTTTTTTGAAAATAATATATATTTATATTGACATCTTTTTATGATTTTGTTTTGTGTTTTTGTTTTTATAATTTAATACAATAAACTACTTTAAATCAGTTTGGTTGCCCTACATTAATTCAGTAACAGTTTGTTTTTTATTTGACTTTCCTTGTAGATATTCAAGATTCCAGTTTACTGTTTGTTTTTGCTTTTTTGCCATATCTAAACATTAGTACAGATCAAGTCAGAATTTCTCTATATTTAAATAAATAAGGGGTGACCACAATCATTTGAAATGCTGTGTCCCTTTCTCCTCTCATTTAAGTACAACAATACAATGGGGATACGGCTAGTTTGTGTGGAATACATTGTTTAAAACCATTAAGTAGACATGTCCCACTGCCACATATTGGATTGCACTCACAATATTAAAGTGACACTATAGTCACCAGAACAACTACAGCTTGTATTTGTTCTGGAGAGTATAATTTTATAACATGGCAGGAGGCTTCGTATTTGCATTAACTTTCTTTACTAGCTCCACAGCAGCAAAGAAAAAAAACATTAAAGAAAGAACCAGAACCAGAATCAGAGTAAAACAGAGGATATATAAGTCCCAGCGTAGCCAACCATTTCCTCTTTCTTTGCTGCTCCATCACAAGTCAGGTCAGAGTACTGATTTCTTTAAGATTCCTGTCAGGTTTCTTTAAGGTGTTATTGATGTATGTTTTGCTTTAATTGTACCTGGTTGTTCTTCTATTGTTTTATTTGCTGGTATTAGGGTATTGGGTGCCAGGGGGACCTGAGTGGGTCTAACCTCCCCTGTCAGGGGAGCTGTGCTCACTTTGGGGCAGGGTACTGGGCTGAGGCTTTCTGGTAAAACGGGACAGCCTCTCCCAGCGCTCTCCTCTCCCTGCTCAAAGGGATTGTGTCAGGCTAGACCGCCCCCCCCCCTCTTCTTCCCACTTATTCTATCGGTGGCTACGCTCGCCACCTTCTTTCCCTACCGTTGCGCTCTGCTCGTGCTCTAGTAGCGCGAACAGGCAAGACGCTCATCCTCACAAGGCGCTGAGCATTCGCGGCCCGTCCCGTTCGCGCAGTCGGCTTAAAAAGGCACGAACGGGCGGTCTGGACAGTTTCCCGAATTACTAAGGGGAATTCAGTCAGTTCGCGGATCTGTTCACATTTGGCGTTCGGCGGTTTTAGCCAGGCAAACGGCCGTTCGCGGCTAAACTGCCGAACGCTTAAAGGGCTCCATTTTCGCAGGCTTTGCGCCCGTTAGTCTAGCGAGACCCGTGCGGCCATTTTGTGGGTAATTGGTTTCGTGGAGTGCAATACCTATCAGACAAGGCTCTAGCTCTAAAAGCTCATTTTTTCCTACTTCTGAGGTGGAATTCGTTTGGGACCTTCACAGGTTGGTGTCATTGCCCCTGGGGAGTGGGACTGCCAGTAGGGTTTAACCCAATAGCCTGGCTAGGGTTGAGCCCCCATTGAGGGCTGCATAGCGGGAACTGTTAAAGCAGCTCCCTGTGACCCTGGGTGAGCCCCAGCGATTAGGAGTCCAGTACCACGCCGCTGAGTGTTATTTAACCTGAGTCCTTCCTGTACGGTCCCTCACCTCTCATACCTATACCTGTGCCTGTTAGTGCCCAACATCATGGAGGACACAATTAATACCAGTGACCTTCAAGCAATGATCAATGCAGCGGTAGCTGCGTCTTTGGAGAAGGCGCTAGCAAAAGCGGCTCCTGCCCCCGCTGAATCTAACGCGCTCTCTAACAAGCCACACCAGGCTCACTTAGACTCCGATGAGTCGGATGACTCCACTAGAGAAAAGAAGCGCCCGGCGAAACGCCACTGGAAGGGCGAAGGTTCCAAGAGACCCGTCTTCAAAGGCGAGGCCCCTATGAAGCGTGATAAACGCACTACTCAGATACGGCCTCCTCAGTTGAGGAGCAAGACGTGCCCCCCTCTCTCTCCGTTCTGGATGAGTGGCAGGCTGAAACCTCCGACTCTGACGAAGGCGGTTGGGGCTCCAACGCCTACGTCACTGAGACATTTCTGGGTGAGCCCCAGCAGAAAGGAGATGCGGAACCCTCCCCCGCCACGCAGGAGATATTCCTGGACTCCACTGACCAGAGAATGTTTGATCCCAGGAAGATTCGCCACCCTCGATCGGGTGAGTGGGCCCCTCCGGATCATCTCCGCTTCATGCATTTTTGGATCAGAAAAGCTTTGGAAAAACATATCCGTAAGAGGATACGGGCAGAGTGTCCAAGACCAACCCTGCCAGATAAAGTGGCCTATACGCCGGAATTTGATCAGCTTATGCTGACCTTTATGGAACAAGGGGGCCGCGACCGACGGAGGGGGATCGAGAAAAGGTTTAAAGGAGCTCAGGATAAACTCCTAGACACAATGGGCCCATTGGCCCGAGTTATGTACCTGGCGGACGAAGCATACGCCAGAGCGGACTCCTTCACGGCAGACATGGTGCACTTTTTCGTATCGACCCCAAATTGGTTGACCTAGGGGTCAAAGAATTGGGCCCACAGGGCAAGCTCTTTGGTGAAGCTTTTATGAAGGAACTAAATAAGCACGTAAACGTCTTTACATCATTGAATAGGGCCCGCACGTCCATGCGTAAGGTCTTCCGAGGTACCTCTGCAAAGGGTGTTTTTTCAAGGGCTGGTCGGCAGCGGGGCCGTGCCGCCAGCCGTTTCTGGCCTTCAGGCCCCCGCATGGGCTTCCAACACCAATTCTTCCCTAAACAAGGTTACCAGGGCATCGGAGCCAAACAACCATTCCCCTACTACCAAAGGGATTCTGACAAAGGACGAGGTGGTCGAGGACGAGGCCGTGCACGCTTCCCTACAGGTAAGAGACCACCTTTGTTCGATACCTCAGATAACTATGATTGCAGGCCGTGTCTCACTTTTTTCCCAGAATTGGTCCCAACTGTCCACGGACGCTTGGGTGCTACAGACCGTCCAAGCATTCGAATAGGACTTCGATCACAGCCCATTCAAAGGTTCCCCCCTTATCCTTTGCGTCTCTCGGCTGCAGACACTCACCTCATAAATAGGGAGCTCCGCGAGCTTCGCGTAAAGGGCGCTATAGAACCTGCGCACACAAGGGGAGGTTTCTTCAGCAACATGTTCCTCGTCCGCAATAAGACCGGGGACTTCCGGCCAGTGATCAATTTGAGAGGACTGAACACGTTCGTGACCTACCGCCACTTCGAAATGGAGAGCATCCATTTATTGAGGGACCTCCTCCAAGAAAGGGATTGGTTTACGCGTCTAGACCTCAAAGACGCTTATCTGACAATTCCAATCCATACGGACAGCCGGTCATTTCTCCGTTTTCTCTGGAACGGCACGCGATGGCAGTTCACGTGCCTTCCGTGCGGACTGAGCTCAGCACCGTGGTGCTTCACGAAAATGCTAAAACCAGTGGTATCGCACCTCCGAACACGCAGGATCAGATGCATAATTTATCTGGACGACATTCTCTTGTTCTGCAGAACAAGGGAACTGGCCATCCGGCACACTACGTATACAGTATGACTGTTAGAATCCTTGGGCTTCGTTGTCAACAGGGCCAAGTCGCAATGACGCCCGCTCAACGAATCCAATTCCTGGGCTTCGAGATCGACTCCAGGTCCTGCACCCTGCATCTCCCGTCCGCCAAAGTGACGGCCATCAGGAAGGAGATCCGCAGGGTTCTCAAATTGGATTCCATTCCGCTCCGTCAGCTGGCGCGGATTGTGGGACTCTTATCATCTTCAATACAAGCCGGGACCCCTTCACTACCGAGCGATACAACGGCTGAAGGCCAGCCTCCTCCGCCAAAACCTCACATACAACCAACCGGTCCCGCTGTCGGAAGAAGTATATCAAGAACTCCAGTGGTGGCTCCACTGCATGCAGGCCTGGAATGGTCGGGCTATCTTCGGCAGTCAACCGGACTTCGTCCTGGAGTCGGACGCGAGTCACGTGGGATGGGGTGCCACGCATGGAGAAACGTCCACAGGGGGCACGTGGACACCACAGGAATTATCGATGTACATCAATTGCCTCGAACTGCTAGCGGGCTCCTTTGCTATCCGCAGCCTTACAAAAGGGCAGTCCAACTGCTGTATACTATTAAGAATGGACAATGTATCCGCGGTACGGTACATCAACCGCTTGGGGGGCACCCGGTCGAGAACCCTGGCGCATCTAACGAAGGAAATCTTCGACTACTGCCTCCCGCGCAATATCACACTACGGGCAGAACACCTACCGGGGGAGACGAACCTCATGGCGGATTGGTACTCCCGTCATTGGCGGGATGCCAGCGACTGGCAACTGGATCCGCGAGTATTCGCGCATCTGCAAGACCAGAAGGGACCCTTTCTACTGGATCTGTTTGCCTCACGAAACAACTGGCAGCTCCCGCAACTCTACAGCTGGCTACCAGACCCGGATTGTATAGCGGTGGATGCATTCACTCAACACTGGCCACAGCAGGGAGCATATGCCTTTCCCCCATTTGCCATGATTGCCAGAGTTCTCAATCATCTTCGCAGACGAAGGGTCTGACTAACCCTGCTGTAGCCCCTCTGGCCGTGTCAGCCCTGGTTCCCGGACCTTCTCGAACTGTCTTATCAGGACCCGATCCTCCTACCAATGACGACATGTTACTCCGGGACCTGGCGGGGAACGCACATCCGATGGTGTCAGACGGCCGTCTGACCTTGGTGGCCTGGACTCTTTCAGGGGAACCTGGCGTACCGACGAATTATCGTCAACGGCTAAAGACCTCCTATGGGATTCCTGGGTCCCAGGAACACGGAGAAGCTATCTACAGGGAGTGCAGAATTATTAGGCAAGTTGTATTTTTGAGGATTAATTTTATTATTGAACAACAACCATGTTCTCAATGAACCCAAAAAACTCATTAATATCAAAGCTGAATATTTTTGGAAGTAGTTTTTAGTTTGTTTTTAGTTATAGCTATGTTAGGGGGATATCTGTGTGTGCAGGTGACTATTACTGTGCATAATTATTAGGCAACTTAACAAAAAACAAATATATACCCATTTCAATTATTTATTATTACCAGTGAAACCAATATAACATCTCAACATTCACAAATATACATTTCTGACATTCAAAAACAAAACAAAAACAAATCAGTGACCAATATAGCCACCTTTCTTTGCAAGGACACTCAAAAGCCTGCCATCCATGGATTCTGTCAGTGTTTTGATCTGTTCACCATCAACATTGCGTGCAGCAGCAACCACAGCCTCCCAGACACTGTTCAGAGAGGTGTACTGTTTTCCCTCCTTGTAAATCTCACATTTGATGATGGACCACAGGTTCTCAATGGGGTTCAGATCAGGTGAACAAGGAGGCCATGTCATTAGATTTTCTTCTTTTATACCCTTTCTTGCCAGCCACGCTGTGGAGTACTTGGACGCGTGTGATGGAGCATTGTCCTGCATGAAAATCATGTTTTTCTTGAAGGATGCAGACTTCTTCCTGTACCACTGCTTGAAGAAGGTGTCTTCCAGGAACTGGCAGTAGGACTGGGAGTTGAGCTTGACTCCATCCTCAACCCGAAAAGGCCCCACAAGCTCATCTTTGATGATACCAGCCCAAACCAGTACTCCACCTCCACCTTGCTGGCGTCTGAGTCGGACTGGAGCTCTCTGCCCTTTACCAATCCAGCCACGGGCCCATCCATCTGGCCCATCAAGACTCACTCTCATTTCATCAGTCCATAAAACCTTAGAAAAATCAGTCTTGAGATATTTCTTGGCCCAGTCTTGACGTTTCAGCTTGTGTGTCTTGTTCAGTGGTGGTCGTCTTTCAGCCTTTCTTACCTTGGCCATGTCTCTGAGTATTGCACACCTTGTGCTTTTGGGCACTCCAGTGATGTTGCAGCTCTGAAATATGGCCAAACTGGTGGCAAGTGGCATCGTGGCAGCTGCACGCTTGACTTTTCTCAGTTCATGGGCGGTTATTTTGCGCCTTGGTTTTTCCACACGCTTCTTGCGACCCTGTTGACTATTTTGAATGAAACGCTTGATTGTTCGATGATCACGCTTCAGAAGCTTTGCAATTCTGAGTGCTGCATCCCTCTGCAAGATATCTCACTATTTTTGACTTTTCTGAGCCTGTCAAGTCCTTCCTTTGACCCATTTTGCCAAAGGAAAGGAAGTTGCCTAATAATTATGCACACCTGATATAGGGTGTTGATTTCATTAGACCACACCCCTTCTCATTACAGAGATGCACATCACCTAATATGCTTAATTGGTAGTAGGCTTTTCGAGCCTATACAGCTTGGAGTAAGACAACATGCATAAAGAGGATGATGTGGTCAAAATACTCATTTGCCTAATAATTCTGCACTCCCTGTATCTGCATGGAGAGCTTGGATCCCTTTACAGCCCCTGTTTCCGACATCATGAATTTTCTCTCAGCCCTATTCGAAGAAGGGAAATCATACCGCACCATAAATGTCATGAGATCAGCTATCTCGGCAGCACACGTGCCGTTTCAAGGAAGGGCAGTCAGACAGGATCCGCTAATATGCCGGCTGCTACGGGGTATCAAACTAAGGAGACCTCCAGCACCTAAATATCAACATCTCTGGGATGGGGAGATAGTCCTTCGTTTTCTCAGGAACTGGCCTCCCAACGAACAGCTCTCATTGAAACAACTGATGGCGAAGTTCACCTTCCTGTTGTGCATGGCTTCCTTCCGGAGAGTGGCTGACGTTTGGACTTTCGATAAGGACGCCTTCTCCATTGGCCCCGAAGGAGTCACGTTTCACATATCACAGCGTAATAAATCCAATGCAACATCAGTGTTCTATCCGTTTTTCAATTCGGATCCCCAACTATGTGTGGTCCGGGCCCTCCGAGCCTACGTGTCGGCAACGGAGGGCTTGCGCTCACCGTCCGCACAACAACTTTTGGTATCATATGTGAGTCCACACGGCCCGGTCTCGGTCACCACATTGGCTAGATGGGTCAGATGGATTCTCGCTCTAGCCGGGGTAGATGCCTCATTTGGCGCACACTCCTTTCGAGGGGCAGTGGCATCGTCGGCCTTTTTAGCAGGCACCTCACTGGCGGATATCCTACACACGGCGGATTGGTCCCGGGAATCTACCTTTCGGACCTTCTATTTTCACCCGTCGTCCAATGCCGCTTTCGCTCTTCTACCTAAGCGTTAAAACTGCAAATACGAAGCCTCCTGTCATTTTATAAAACTGAAGATTATGCTAGCGCAGTGTACTAATAATCTTAATTTTAATTATTACAGGAGGCGAGTATTTCCCACCCTTTCACTCTCCTAGAAGTACCCACCCAGATGGAGGTAAGTTTGGCGGTAGGAGTAGATTGGTTCTTTATCTGGACTTACTCACTTGGATTAGCATATTATGCTGTTATATTTATTATAGTGCTATTGAAGATATCTTTATTGAGTAGTTGATTCATAACAGACAATTGGTTTTCTTTGGTCATCCCTGTATCACTGATACTAGTCTCTCTCTCTTTTCAGTTTCAGGGATGATGGGAAGGCTGAAGAGGCCATTATTATTTCCACGTTGGATTTCGTTATGACAGTTGGAATAAAGTTACAATGGACTTATTACCACATTTGGATCTTGTGATGTTGCAGTAGTCAAGAGGAAATGGTTGGCTACGCTGGGACTTATATATCCTCTGTTTTACTCTGATTGGTTCTTTAATGGTTTTTTTCTTTGCTGCTGTGGAGCTAGTAAAGAAAGTTAATGCAAATACTCGCCTCCTGTCATTATTAAAATTAAGATTATTAGTCTCTTCAGGCCTTTGGTAGTAAGCAATGTTTGTTCAGAGAAAATGCAGTGTTTACGTTACAGGATAGGGATACCTTCACTGGCCACTCTTCAGTTGGCTACTAGAGGTGCTTCCTGGGGCAGTGCTGAACAATGTGCAGCACTGACATTCAGTGTTTTCACCCTCTTCATGGAGACACTGAACTTTCCTCCTAGAGATGCATTGATTATCAGTGAGGAGATACTGATTGGCCAGGACTGTGTTTGGCTCATGCTGGCTCTGCCCTTGATCTGCCTCCATGACAAGCTCAGCCAATCCAATACTTTCCTATGAGAAAGCATTGTGATTGGCTCAGATCATCTATGTTTTCCCAAACATAGATTTTCTTACTTGCAAATGGAATCCCGCCAATCTATGTTGAGAGAAAATCCCCAGAACATAGATTAGAGAATTAGCATCCAGTGACTAGGGCTTATTTTTGGGGTAGGATTTATATTACTAGCAGCCCCTGAAAATAAGCTAGGGCTAATTTTCCGGGGATGTCTTATTTTGAGAGAGAGAGAGAAAATTATATATATATTGTCTGTGTGTTCAAGTAGAGATTGTAGCCGTATTAGTCCAGTGATTTAGATGTAAAAGACAGCTAAAATTTGTATCTTGTAATACCTTTTTTTTTTTTATTGGACTAACAGAATTTTTTTAATTGACAAGCTTTTGGGAGAACCTCCCTTTCTCAAGTCTGAAGCATTGAGACTTGAGAAAGGGAGGTTCTCCCAAAAGCTTGTCATTAAACAATTATGATAGTCCAATAAAAAAGGTATTACAAAATACACATTTTATCTATTTTTTTTTTACATCCATCTATCTATCTATCTATCTTGTATCCACATATGCACCCTGGGTCAGACAATGTTTGAAAACCTCTAAATAGTGTCTCTGGTCTTCCCCACTTACCTGGAGTTGCACCCATAGAAATAAATAAATATACACGCTTTGAGGTGACCTTATGGTTACACTCATAATAAAATGGTGACATGTATATAAAAAAAGCTAAGCTATGGGACTACAGCAGAAATTGAGAAGTTTTTTCAAATCCGCTTATATTGCACATTGGTGTATAATTGACTGTTTAACATTTGTGCAGCTGTCGCTGATCATGTCTATACTACAGCCCTTTCTCACTTGCGAAAATAACGGGACTTTGCCCACAGCTAACATGGTACCGGAGCGCATCATCGGGAATATGTAGATCAATGGACTGAAAATCAATTGATAGGATTTGCCTCTGATTGGTCTGCTGGAGGTCACGTGGCGGGGAGAGGCCGGAAATCCCCATTCCACGCCAGTATCTCGAAATTCAGGATGGTGGTGACGATTTTCATCACTTCGGTGACCGGGTCCCGGGAGGTGAGTTAAAACCAGGACATATTAGCGCGAATAAGTGACGTCATTAAGTATAGAAGTATAAACCGTATGGGTATGATGCTGTTTATGGACATTGTCAGTGATCGTACTGTGCACACTGCTTATAAGGGTTCTGACATTCTGATTGGCATTGATTAGTGTCATGGTAACGTTCTAGTTATCTGTATAGATCTCTCTCTATATATATATATATGTGTGTGTGTGTTTTATTTTCCTAACTGAGAGCAATGCATGCTATTGTGCGCTATGTACACCCCTTTACCTTTGTATGGGGAGTTGCTATAAACCATGTTTACTGTGTGATTGTACTAGTTTTCAGCTCTTATTTCCTGCTGCCTGCGTCTTACATTAATACTTCTTGATTGTTGGAGGGTCATACATCAGGCACTTCATATCCTGGTGCATGTGTGTACATGCTGCAACTTGTGCTCGTAAAACACACGAAGCTAATCTGCCTATGAATAGGCATTTGCTTGTGGTTTGTAGTAAGATACCTGTCTGCGACAGCATGGATTTTGTGTAAGTTTTATTTTCGGTAAGAGGGATTCGAACCAAAAAGAGAACTTTTTTGCAAATCTATTTCATAATATTTTCTATGTAAACACTTAAAATACAAAGTCTGTTTTCACCTTTCCACTTTTGCTTGCAAAGCTTTGTTTTTTTTGGCAGTATGCCCCTTTTATATGGGTGTTTCCTCTCTTTGTGCCAACTGTTGTGAATTATAACACAGGTTTCCAGAATGATTGAGGCAGTAAAGGGAATTGCAACCATCCTCCACAAGCAAAACCATTTTGGAAGAAAAGTTACTTCCCACATGTATATTTTTTTTTGTCTGTGTTTCCTCATTTAATTTCTTCTGTAATATTTTCATTGTTATGCCACCGTACACTCTGCAAGACTTATGGTGCCACAATTCCAGGTAGTCTTTGGCAGGTGAGCTCAGGGCTAGGTGTTACACACTAGTTACTAGTAGATTAGTGTATTTTACATATATACTTTTGGCAAAAGGCATTTCATATACACTGATCAGCCATAACCTTAAAACCACCTGCGTGACTTATTTATTTATAAAATATTTTACGAGGAAGGATACATTGAGACTTCTGTCATTTTCATGTATGTCCCAGACAGACATTGCATTGTTACTATAGGGTACAATATAATATTACAAAAAATAATACAATATATACATACATACATTTAACACATAACAGGTAATACGTATAGTGTAGCTCTCCCTTGTGCTGCCAGAACAGCTCTGCTGTGTCAAGGCATAGACTCCATATGACCGCTAATTGTGTTCTGTGCACCAAGACAGTAGCAGCATATCCTTTACATCCTGCAAATTCTGAGGTACAACCTTCATGGATCGGAATGGTTGTTCCAGCACATCCCACAGATGCTCAATCGGATTGAAATCCAAAGAATTGGGAGGCCATGTTCATCAAACTATTCCTGAACAATTTTTGCAGGTGGCAGGGTGCATTATCCTGCTAAAAGAGATATCTGTATCTCTCCATCTAATGTATTTGTTCTTGTTTTTTTTTTTTTTTTTTCTCAAATATTTCCATAATGCATTTGAAAGAGGTCTAAAATACAGCTTGCTATGACGCCCCTTTAATAAATAAATTAAAATGTATGAAGACTGATTTGTTTTTACTATTCATATTTAAGTATTGACCCGTCAAAAACAACATAAGTTAACAGGAGGTTAACGGAAACAGGTTTGTTTTCTATTTTAGGAAGTTAAATCTGACTGACCTTCAGGAAGCTTTCTGCTCTAAGATTCCTGTTCAGACCTCTAGAGAATATACTAAAGCTTCAAGTTATTTACTGCCTAAACTTTTTAATGTGACAGGAGGTATTCCTTCTGGTACTAACAAACTATAGATGGTCTCAATGTACTCCCCCTCCCACTTTAGGCGGTCAAGTCCTTAAACGGAAGTCTTGGTCCAAAATTTGCACAAATATTTCCTAAGCCCTTAAACCACTTAACTTTAATTAATGGACGACTCCACACCCCAAAAGCACTTAAAGTGGCACTGTCATGGCCGAATCCAGTTTTTTTTTTTTTCAACCCCCCCCCCCGACTACACTACATCTTATTGACCCTCTAGTCACCCCTAAGCCACACATATTACCTGTTTGTTTTTTTAAATCTTTATTTTCTGCCTGCCATCTTTGGGTGGGTAGATGAAGGCCCTGTGGGACACGTAATCTGCCCACAGTAGATAGCACTGTGAAATTCCCACGCATGCCTAGTTAAACACTTGGGCACGCGAACGGGAATTTCATCTATTCATTCATCAGAAAGACGAATGAATAGAAATGTCAGACGAACAAGCATACACTGAATATCAGTGTTTATTTGTTCGTTCAGTTTATTACAAGGAGGGAGCTACACGCTCGCAGCTCCCTCCTTGTAAAATGTTAAGATAGAAGCGGCAGGGAGCAGTGCTCCCTGACATTTCCTAAGCTCCCCATGTCCTCCCTCAATATGACTTCCATAATAGCATAAGGGAGATTAGGGGCATGTCTACTAAACAGTCTCACTGTTAAAAAAAATAAAAAAATACTAGTGCTCCCACACCTGAGTGGCGGCCCTAAAGGATAATGAGGGGGGGGACCTATTGTCCTCCCCACCAGCCCCCACCCCTGAGCGACGGGTGGGGGCCCTAAAGGATAAAATCTTCATTTTTCAGCTCTAAAAAAGGCCAAATAAAAACCATAATACCCGTCGAACTTGTAAAAAATAAAATAAACCCTCTAGCGCAAAAAAAAATCCAACGAGAAAGGAAAAAACATGACGCTAAAAAAATAAATCTATCTTCACCCGGCAAGGGCACGGCGCAGACTGAGCTCCGCAGGGCGGGCAAAGGCTTATAAAGCATTCCCACGCCCTGCAATTTGACTCGGAACACTCTGGTTGACTTGGAATTCAACCAATCAGAGTGCTAGTCATTTTACACAGCGTAGGAAAGTTCTTTGAATTTTCCCATGCTGTGTAAAATGACAGAGCACTCTGGTTGAATTTCAAGCCAACCAATCAGAGTGCTGTGATAGGTAAACGTAGAGACTTGCCTGTCTGTCTCTTCATTTACCTGTCATAGCACTCTGATTGGATGGCTTAAACCAACCAATCGGAGTGCTCTGAGTCTAATTGCAGGGTGGGGAAAGGCTTTATAAGCTTTTGGGTGGAACTTTTTTTTTTTTTTTCTGGATGCGGATCCTATGGGAAAGCGATTGACGATCTCAGCTATTGAGGCAAAACCAGCACGCCGTGGGAAAAAGGGTGAGTAAAAACCTCTCGTGTAAACCTATTTAAACCTATTTAGTTTAGAAAAACGTCGCCTGAGAGGGGATATGATAACATTATACAAATATATTCATGGCCAATACAAACCATTGTGTGAAAATCTATTCACAAACCGGACTTTACATAGGACACGAGGCCATGAGTTTAGACTGGAAGAAAGAAGATTTCGTCTAAGGCAAAGGAAAGGTTTTTTTACTGTAAGAACAATCAGGATGTGGAATTCTCTGCCTGAGGAAGTGGTTTTATCAGAGTCCATACAGATGTTCAAACGGCTACTAGATGCATACTTGCAAGAACAGAATATTCAAGGATATAATCTTTCAATGTAGGGTAATAACTGCTTGATCCAAGGATAAATCTGACTGCCATTCTGCGGTCAAGAAGGAATTTTTTTCCTAGTTTGTTGCAAAATTGTGCTTCAAAGTGGGTTTTTTTGCCTTCTTTTGGATCAACAGCAAAAAACAAATGTGAGGTAGGCTGAACTTGATGGACGCAAGTCTCTTTTCAGCTATGTAACTATGTGTAAACAGAGGGGGCAGGCACACACAAACACTGACAGAGGCATTCTCATACACAAATTTTAATTTTTAATTTTAATTCAACCAGCCTCTCCAGCTTTGGGATTGCAGAGTGGAACTTTCCCTTGGGTCCAGTCGGGCTGCTATCTCTTCCTGCATGTGAGGGAGCAGTAATCTACCTGCAGCTCCTCTCTGCTTCCTGTAGTAATGCCGGGGCCGAAATGACGTCCTATTACAGCGCGAGGGAGCGGAGAGGAGCTGCAGGAAGATCATTGCTACCATGTTCCCTGAGTCAGCTGGCTACCATGCTTCCCAGGGCTCCATTGTTTGCCCGGCTGCCCGCTTTAACTAAAGGGCTCACAAATCCCAGTCACCATGGCGACTAGAAGTTTCGCCCTGGTGCCTGTATTTGTCTGCCATTTAGCTAAGGCGGGATTTTTTAAGCCCCGCTTTACTGCATGACTGTCAGTGTCACTGGGCGTTAAAGCCTTGCACTGCATGACTGCATAAACAGGTTAATGCATTTTAAAAATACATGGGAGCATCTTTTATTCCAGAATTTCCTTTCTGTTGCTAATTGAAAAGCCATACAGCAGCTGTGATCAGTTTAAGCACAGCCCTATTCACTGTTTAGCTTGTGGAGCAAGCATGCATATTCAACAGCTCTGCTCTCCCTGGGAGGAGAAATCTATTATTGTTTCAGATACAGTGAGGTATAATTATTAATCTCAAAAGCTTACTTTTCTCAAATGTGGATAATTCATGCGGTTCAACTTTTCCCATATCAACTGAATTAAAAATTGAGACAAATTGGTTCAAGTAGTTTTCTAATGGATTAATTCATTCATGGGCCAAAGTAGTTTTCTAATGGATTCCATTGCAGCATTGGTGATTGTTACATAGTAGGGTGTAGAATTTGGATGGCTCAGGGTTAAACCTGGAATTCCCCTGGGTCTGTATCAGGGAAGTGTATCAATGGAGATGAATCCATTGCATTTCAGCTGCAAGGAAATGCAAATATGACTGAAATAACCAAATTTGCATTTTGTGAGTAGTTTTGTATCAGTCTTCTTAAAATATGGAAAATTAATATGCATATTTACCTAGTAATTTTCTTTTCCTAGCTATTTATCATGGCAGCATCACTTATGGGTAGCTCCGCCCCTAACCAGATCAGGACAGTATCAATCAATATCAAAAAAGAGAGTAAAACACTGGAGGCATAAAAGGTCTCTCTCTCCTCCTTCCATACCTCAGTCCAGTTAAAAAGAAAGAAGGGTGGGTGACTTTTCCTGGCTATTTATCATGGCAGCATAAGAAAATTACTGGGTGAGTATGTAATTTAATTTTCCGTATTCCTGGCTAATCATGGCAGCATCACTTGGGTAATACCCAAGCAAAATAATCTTTTTGGAGGTTTAAATAGAATTGACACAAGACTCTGATGATCCGCATTAACAGCTGTCAACACTCCTTTGCCATGGAAGTAGTCATAGAATGAAAGTCCAGTTTGTAGTGCTTAATGAAGGTTGTAGGAGTGGACCAAGTAGCTCCTTTGCAGATGTCATCAGGAGGAACCTCTTCCCAATTAGCCCAAGACGTAGCCAGGACGTAGCCAGGGACCTGGTGGAGTGAGCACTGATTATGGCTGGAGGAGTCTGCTTATACCACAGGTAGCAGTCTATGACAGTAGCTATCCATCTCCGTAAAGGTAGAGGAAGAGGCTGCTTCACCCTTATGAAGGCCAGAAGGAAGGACAAACAATTTGTTGGTCTTTCTGAAAACAGAAGTAACCGATGGGTATTTGATTATAAGATCTCTCACATTGAGTTCACGGTATCGCTCTTCCTGGGGAGAAGCCCTGGAAGTACAGAAGGAAGGTAGAACTACCTCCTGGAGTAGATGAAATCTAGATACGACTTTAGGAAGGAAGTCTTCACTAGGTCTCAGGACCACTCAATCATGAAATACTAGAGAATGCCTGGAGTTCCGAAATTCTCTTGACTGTGGAGATTGCCATAAGGAACACTGTTTTATGAGTGAGGTGTTGAATAGAGATGTCCTGCAGTGGTGCATAGGGATATTCACTTAGAGCATTCAGGACTGATAGTAAATCCCATGGAGGAGCGGAGTTCCCGGTTGGAGGGCGTAAGTGTAATGTTGCCTTAAAGAACCTTGAGGTGAGAGGGTGAGATGCTCATGAGGTATTACAAAGGGCAGACAGAGCTGAGGACTGCACCTTCAACGTGCTTAAGCTGAGACCATTGTCCAGGCCTGCCTGTAGAAATTCCAGAATATTGAGGTGAGTAAGGTGTTGACCATCAAAGGACTTCCCCACTGCCCATTTTTGTAAAGGTTTCCCAAATCCTGTAGTAGCAGGAAGACATAAACTGTTTCCTTGCCTTCAGGAGCTGTCATTCACTGCTTTGGACAGGCCCTGCTTAAGAAGGTATTCTCCTTTCAACAGCCAGGTTCCAGCTGGATGGGTTGGGGTGAGTTGCTAGACCTTGGAGTACAAGTTCCGGGGAAATTGGAAGCAACCAAGGATGGATTAGAGACATTTTCAGAAGAAGGGAATACCAGGGTCTCCTGGACCAGATCGGGATAATGGCAATCTCCTTCTTTCTTGATTTTTTTTTTCTCTCAATATCTGGGGAATCAGAGGCAGTTTTTCTATGAGGAAAATACATTTTTCGACAGATTTGGAGTTTAAGGATTTAGGACCATACTCCGTATTCTCCTTCTCTTTGTCAGAAAGATCCTCAAAGGATTCCAGCTCAGACTCCGATGAGGGAGAAGTGGGTTCAGCTCTTTGAAGGTTTTTGGAGGTGGTGTTTTTAGTAGAAGCCTTGAAGCCTTCCGCTATGGCTTGGGATATCCAGGTTTTAAGTTCTTCTTGAGGAGAACACTTCCTGGGATGAATGTCTGCCACTTCCGTCATACAGGTGAGGCATAGGTTTTTACCCTCGAGAGCAGTTTTATTGCAGGCAAAGCAGCGTTTAGATTTTTTTCCTTGTGTTTCCTGGGGGATCTATCCTCGCACATGCTTGGACTGCAAAATAAGAAGGGCCATGTAAGTAACTATGGGGCCCATATAACACTATTTTATTCCCCTTATAAATTAAGAAACTTTGGCTCACCTATGTTTATTTGAACCTGAGTGGTGGGAGGCAGAGGGAGAAGACATCTATAAAAAAAGGAATAAAAAGCGTAAGGATAAATTTGTTTGAATTAAAATATATTATTTCCTATGAATATTAATGAAAATGGGAGACAGAGGATCCATTCTTACCTTAAGGCATGAATGAAAAAACAACTGGCAGCACTGAAAGATATTTTCAGAGAGACAGAAAGCACTTGTCACTTTAAGAACCGAATGGAAAGCTGTATCTTTGAGTAAAGTTTGCGTACGCGCAGATCCTTTCGCACATTTTTTCCTATGACAGTTCGCACAATTTATGAGAACAGACTATAAATGAACTGAAGTTAGCCAGGGAATCTCTTGAAAGGAAACTAACGCCTCAGCGTTCGTGCGGCTGAAAGAGATGAACGAACAGGGAATCACTTACCAGATTGCAAGGCTTACCCACAAGGGAACAAGATCAAACTCCTGAACGAAGGAAATACACGAACCTGTGAGTACACAAACTAAGGAAAGGTAGAAATAGAAGGAAGTTTTTCACATATAAAGAGGTCTATCTCCCAGTAGCTTCTAGGTTCTGTAGGTAGAATATAAGGCTTCTGAGTACAATGGAGCCTAGTCCTCAGCATATTGTAAGTCAATCCTTAAACTAGATTCAAATCACTAGTTTGAATCTGACCCAGTTAGTCCTGCTCATGCAGGTTGTTTATTAGGTCCTTCAGGCACAGCGAGGCTGAACTGTACCTGGGAGACCCATGGTACACATGGGAAGGTGGCCAAAACAGAGAAGAAAATTAAGTTTTAAATTCAACCTGTCTGTCCGGTTAAGCACAGGAATAAAGACCTTTTATACCTCCAGTCTATTTCCTTTTTTTTAAATTTTTTTTTTTTTTTTATTGGTTGATCCTGTCCTGATCTAGTTAGGGGCCGAGCTACCCATAAGTGATGCAGCCATGATTAGCCAGGAAATACTTTTTCTGCTGCTTCCCTATTGGGTTGATCTCCAAAACATATTCTATTTGTCCCGTTGACCAAAGTTTAAGTTTTTTTTGGTTTGTTTATTTATATTTAAATAGTGAAGAATTCCTTTTTGGATTTTTCATTAATATAGCATATGCTTGTGAGTACTGTAATCTTTGAACTGTTTCCAATGTCTTCTTGAAACCCTAGACAAAGTCCAAGCAATGTGAGTCTATGCGGATCATGGACAGTAAGGGCATAAAGTATGAGACGGTTGACATATCTGTGGACAACAATTTACGAGAACAAATGAGGGAAAAGGCTGGGGACCCAAAAGCACTTCCACCCCAGATCTTCAATGGAGACCACTACTGTGGGGTAAGAGAAGACCAACAATGTTATTGTTATGCAGTTTTGTCTTAAAACATTATCCAATACCCCTTGTCCAATATTGGCCTTTGAGACCTTTTTATATAGCAAAACTGTGCTACCCTTTATAGTATGTATTCATTGCAAATGTATTAAACAGAACCATTTCCCACCAGCAGGATTGACCTAGCTCCGCTCACTCTATTCAACCATAGGCTTTTGCATTGTTTGTGTGTTGTGTTGTGTTTTGTGACTGTTTACATGTAAAACCACAAGAGAAATGTTGTTGCCTGGTTATGAATTAATCCTATTTGACAGCAGGATGCTTATACTGTTGTGTAAATATAATCCCAAACATCTGCTTCAATCAATCTTTTCCAAATTATTCTGTTAAAGTTTCCAAGTGATTTATCTACAGAAGTCATTATTCATGTCTATGTGAATTTTCGTAGATAAATAGTTTGGAATCTTTTCTATCAGCAAAATGTTAGTTTTAAATTAAAATCTATATATTTTCTAGCAATGTATAAATGAAATTGTCATGCCTTTTAATTAAAACCTAATTTGTGTATACTGTACAGGTACACTTTTTGCATGCCCTGTAAATGAAAAACGAAATTTAATTTCTCTTCTGTGATTTTCTTCCTACACTTTTCACTAGGGCTATGAAGAGCTTGTTGCTGCTGCAGAAGATGGAATTGTGAACAAGTTTCTGAAGCTTGAGGATTAATCCACACATGTCCCAAGCTTTGACACAATGCTCTTGTTCTTCCTTAAAACCATAGACTATTGCCCCCTTTTTGTTTTGGCCAGGTTTACTAGAAAAATCAGTGAGGATTTTTCTTTTGCCTTGCATCATTCCATAATCTATCATTTACCATAATCACATTCCTGAAGATTAAACATTTTCTTTCTTTCGTTCATTCCTGGGATACTGGAAGCAAGGATACCCCTTATTACTGTGCAATGTTACATTATTTCCCTGCTGGTAACTAAGTGTTTTCTATATGCATTGCTTTCATTAATGTGAATTCTTTCCATGTGTCTTCTGCCAAAGAGGAAGTGTGAACGTCTTCCAGCCGATCAATAAATTAGCTGTTCACATGACTTTATTGAACTCGATTGTGGATGGTTATTATAATGTTGGTTATGTTAAAGGAACACTACAGGGTATGAAGTGTATTCCTGACCCAGTAGTGTTAAAAACACCATATAGGTTCCTTGCACCCCTTAAATAGTGGTAAAACTTGCCCCTAATCCGCCTCCTTGGCTGACAGCAGAGTTTATGATCTTGGCCAATCCATTGCTTTCTTATTAAAGCTTTGATTTGGCTGAGATTGTCAATTCTGATGATCTCAGCCAAGGACCCGAGGTGGTGGCAGAGCCAAACACTGCCCTGGCCAATCCGCATCTCCTCATAGAGATGCATTGAATCAATGCATCTCTATGGGGAAAATTAAGCACCTCCTTGAAGACGCTGAACGTCAGTGCTTACCTTGTAAATGGTCATCTGAGTGACATCCTTAAAGGATCACTATAGGGTCTTTAGATCCCCCCAACCTTATAGTGATCCCTTAAAGGATCACTATAGGGTCTTTAGATCCCCCCCAACCTCAGGGCCCCACTCCCGCTGGGCTGCAGCGCCTGACTCCCTCAGCGCTGAGGAACTCTCCACCCTGCCGACATCAGCGCCGAATGCATATGCACGGCACGAACCGCGCGCGCATTCAAACAGTCCATAAGAAAGCATTTCTCAATGCTTTCCTATGGACGTCAGTGTCTTCTTACTGTGACTTTCACAGTGAGAAGCACCTCTAGCGGCTGTCAATGAGACAGCCACTAGAGGCTGGATCAACCCACAGTGTAAACATAGCAGTTTCTCTGAAACTGCTATGTTTACAGCTGCAGGGTTAACACTAGAGGTTACACGGCACCCAGACCACTTAATTGAGCTGAAGTGGTCTGGGTGCCTATAGTGGTCCTTTTAGGGCGTCCATACGCAGCAATGTCTCTGAAAAGGCAGTGTTTACAGCAGAAAGCCTGCAGGGACAGCTACATAAAGCTGTAATTGAGGCCTTTTTGTACTAAATTAGAATAGATTTTTTTTTTTTTTTTTTTACTAAAAACAATGTTTAAAGTAAATATCAATATCCTCAGCATGAAGAAAGTCCCAGCAGTGGACGGAAATTGCAGCCCCATTTTCTATTTACTTGCAAACTAATTTGTGCCTCTGGGACTGGCACCTGTCTACATTTAGTAATGAGAGAGAGAGTGTGTGTGTGTGTGTTTTTTTTTTTTTTGGGGGGGTTTTTGCGCAGTGATGTTACTACCATTTTTTTTGCATCATTACATTTTAAACATGGATTCCTTTGTGTCTGTGTTTGCGTGTATATATATATATATGTATATACATACACATAAGAAAGGAAGAATTTTTAACACAGAAGTAGTTCAAATATAAAATGTATAAATTCACAAGTTTGCAAATACTTCTAGATATACAGTTTATTTAAGTCTGGGAGTATGCATTTGTGCCTGGAGTGTTTTGAACTCCTGATAACTCTGAACCCTTGGCACGCAGCAGCAGGAAAGCATTGGGGACAAGTCCAAGTTGTTTTAGGGTGGAAGACTCATCATCATAAACTCTGTGAGGAAAGCGGCTGACAATTTCATAGGAGTTGACGTGAGATGACCTATAAGAGAAGTGGAAATGTTATCTCAATAGGTATGCAAAAATATCTCCACCACTCAACAGAATGCTTATTTTAAAAGTGTTAAGGAAGAATTAAGTTTTGTGACTTCCTTAACACTTATAATACAGTGCATCTTATTTAAATGGAGTGCTCTTTTTACTGCTGCACCATAAATCAAAACAAAATTTCAGATGTTATTGCAGTACAGATGCTACTGCCAATTTTGACATCGAAGAACAAATAAAAATTGTTACTTTGATACAGTCTGTTAGTTTCTCAGTTATTCTCATTTAATTATGAAGGTAGCTCATTCACTGGTTTAATCTATTTATTTAATCACAATTAGAAAAGTAAATCTGTAATTATAATACAATAAAACTCACTAACAAATTAGTCATAAGCTATAGTCCTCTTGCTCTCCCATTAGGGTTTGGCCCATGCTAGATCCTTACCAGACAGTTGGTTCATTATGTATCCAATTTTAGCTACAACAGAAGGAAAAGAAGCAGAGGGATGTCTCAAAGTGATACTCTACCTGACTGAGGAAGCCCCTACACTTATGGGAATCACTACTAAATCTGGGAGTTGGCAATGGACTGGGCACTGGACACTGCTACAGTTGTCTTTATCTTTGCCTCACAATTCACTATTTGTTAACTTAATCCTGTACGGTCCATGGCCCTGTGATAGTCAGGATAGTTTGGCACCCAACACTCAGAACTTAAAACAAAACAAATACTCAGTAAACAAATAGAAATAAAACTTAGTACTGGACCTTAGATTCTGTTTCCCTGACTCCTACCTGTCCTGTACTTTTCTATATTAACATTAAACCCAGCCGAGAACGCACTTCAGTGGGTGCCGTGACACAAATGTGCAGCATGTGATACTAAGGCATTGGATAGAAAGAAACGTTGTGCCTCATGTCTCAGAAGCTGCAGAAAACTCCTTAAGAAATGATAACGTGAATTCAGATGGTGGTGGACCAGAGTATGAAACAACAAAGGTCCCGAAAGCATCCTAGACATTCAACAAATAGAGAATGGGAAGATTTTTTATCTGATATTTCAGAGGCTGATTTTCCCTCCAAATTAATGCATTCTTGAGATGATTCAGATTCTGTAGATGATCCGATGGATGTAAAGACTGTTTAAAACTTGATTAAGGCAGTCAGATATACCTTTTAATTTTTAAGAATCTAATCAATGAGGCACTTAACTTTTTACATTGAAATATAAGAAACCACAGAAGAAAAAAATAATTCAAGGAATGATGACCAAAATGTATCCCTTTAATTAAGAGGATTCTTCATTGGATTCAGCACCAAAAATGTATACTGTTATTATCAGATTGGGAAGCAACACAGCTTTACCTTTGGATGAGGTCAGGGCAAGATTAACATAGGGGCTGATAGAGCTGAAGCTCCAGGCCCATGGAATAGGCCCATTGATAAAAAAAAAAAAAAAATACACACTACTCTTCACCTGGCCGGTATTTATTTATTTGAGGCTGCCTAGCCGGTGCCGATATTGCAGTAATACCGGCAATACAAATGCCGGTATTTTTCTCAGTATAAACAGAGATTACTCTGCAATACCATTACCAGCCAGTAGGGGTCACTGTGTGTGTGGAGAGCGGCAAGGATAGGAATGTACAGCATATACCTGCATTGCTCTACTCACTGATCCGCGGGGGAGCAGCTACACAGCACAAAGAGTCCAGACGGCAGCTCCCAGCCTGCAGAGACAGCCTACAGCTCAGAGAAGTGAGGGATGGGGTAAAGGCTGCAGGGAGACATGGGGACACATGGAGACCTCTGGGGATGCTGGGACACTTGGAGACATGGGGACACAGACACACATGGGGACACGGAGACAAGGACACACACACATGGGGACACAAACACTAGGGGACACAGGGACACAGACATGGGGAAACAGACACACATGTCTCAGTGTCCCCATGTCTCCCAATGTCCCTAGTTTCTCAGTGTTCCCATGTCTCCCAGAGTCCCTAGTGTCTGTATGTTCATATCTCCCAGTGTCCCCATGTCTCACAGTGTCTGTGACCCCATATCTCCCAGTGTCTGTGTTCCCCATGTCTCCCAGTGTCCCCATGTCTCTCAGTGTCCCTGGGAGACATGGGGATACAGAGACATTGTGATGCATAGTCTCAGTGTCCCCATGTCTCACAGTGTCCCCTCGTGACATGGGGACACATACACTAGGGGACACTGGGAGCAATTCATCTATACAGCAGAATCAAACTAAGTAGTTTTTTGGTGATTTCACTGAATTTTCTCTGTCACTCCTTGTGATTTACATAATGTGATGTCACGCATACATAATTAGTTATGCAAATTAGTAAGGCCTGTAATTTTTTTCCAAGAAAGGTGGCAACCCTAACTATTCTTCACATACTCTTGCTTAAGTATGGAAACTTAAGAGGGATGTAGAGGAACAAAACTTGTGTGGACTAGCTGAAATTAAATTAGTTAAGGTAATGCCGACTTTGGTCTCTCTAACACTGTGCCATGTTCCCTTTCTTCTACACTCACTACATCCACCTTTTCTCTGTCTCAGACTGTATACCAGGAGCTTCTTGCTTCTAGTAAGAAGGTTAGGATAGAAGTGGACCAGTGAGTACTAGGGGATAGTCCTTAGAAAGCATAGAGCTAGCGCATCATTAGATGCTTTTATGCCAAGCTCAGGAAGCTGTTGGCAAGCATGCATGATTGGCAGGCACCGTGACATGCATTCATGCTAGACTAGCCTTCCAATTCTTTGGGCAGACACACCTCCTTTTTGGGCATGATCGGCCCTTTCGGAAGTTCAGTTACATGATCCGCGTCACTGGCCCACCCTTTTCACCGCCCATTGACTTACTGCTTCACTGGACACAGCTGTTAGCGAGTATGGATTTACTTGAAAGATGAAAGCATAATTTAGAGAGAGCATATTTTAAGAGAATCTGTTTTTTGGGGGGTTTTTTTTTGCATCCTATGAGTTTCCCTCCGGCAACGTCTCCACCAGATACA